AGCCTCCCAAAGTGCTGGGATTACAGGCTGAGCCACCAAGCCCAGCTTATCTCCCCAGTTTTTAAAGGCATGAACTATTAATAATAATACCAGAAAAGCAAACTACCTTTCTTAAGGGGTTCTCCTAAATATTAAAATTGAAAACAAACTCACAAACAAACAAAAGCAAAAAAAGATAACAACACATTTCACTATAGGAATAGTTAGGTGTACTCTTAATTTACTTCATGATACAGGAAATGTAAAGACTAAGTAAATAGACAAAAGGTTAACACTTTAAGAGCAAGGGTTCTAGAGTCAGACAGCCTGGAAGCAAAGGGCGACTGTACTACTAACTGTATTACCATAGGAAAATTACTTTGTTTTCCCTTGCCTCAGTTTCACCATCAGCAACATATGGATAATAATGGTACCTATCTGGAAAAGTTTTAGAAGAACTACATGAGACAATCTATGTAAAATGGTCATAAGAGTGGCAGACACACAGCAAATGTTTGATTAATGTCAGCTACTACCTCTGTTATTATTAGCCCAAATAACTGATGATGACTTTCAGTATATAGTTTTATAAAATTTAAGACAAATTTAGTAGGAAAGTCAATCCTATTCTTCTGGATTTTAAATGGTAATATAAACACGTATTATACATTAGTAATATGCCAGGTACTATGTTAGACATTATAAGCATCATAGGCTTTTTAGTCAATGAGCAAGTTATATAACAAAATTTTATAGAAATCTAAAGGTAAAGGTTATCCTGAACTGTGGTAAAGCATACCACAATGTGAAAAATAAAGTTATGAACAATGACAATTGTAATCATTAATGCATATGGACTGTATTAATAAAATCATGTCAGTGGTAGAAATAGCTTTTCACTTTAAAGTTCTTTTAGAGGTTTAATCATCTTCTTAAGAAGCACAAAGGACTAGAAAAGAAGATGGTAATCTGAGTCTGATTCCTGTGGTTCACAGACCAGCTCAACTTGGCACACAGTAGGCATTCAATAAAGATTTGTTTTGCCTAAGACTATGACTAAGAGGCACTCCAGAGTTAATACTGGTTCAGAGGAAACATTGCCACCTAGTGAAAAAGTAGGCCAATTACCTGGGATTATCAAATAATGCTAAGAATTTACCAAATTATACTTGATCTTACTATACACATATTCATTATGTGTCAGTATTCAGGTTAGGTGTTGGGGGAAAAAAAAAAAAAGATGAAAAGCCTCCACTTTTGCCTCCTAAAATATATAGAAAATATGGAAGAAACCACACACTTCATAGAGCAGCAGAGAGAAAATGGTGCTGCAGAAAAAAAAAGTTTGATTACTAGGCATTCAAAGGCTAATATTTCAGGAAATTTGCTGAAAAGGCAACTTAGTGTAGCAAATAAGAGCATGGACTCAAGACCAGACTGTATCAATCTAAACCCTGGCTCCTGTACAATGGGGATAATAATAGCCCCATGTAATAGGATTATTGTGAAAACTAAAATAAATATATGTAAAGTACTTAACATAGTACCAAGAACATAGAAAGTGCCATGTATGTATTAGCTATAATTATTATTAAATGTAGAAAAGCATCCTAGAGACTGAGGTAGATAAATATTGATTAATAACAAAACATTAACTGCTAAAGTCTAATTTCATAATTTTAATTCAGTAGAAGCCGTTTCTCTGACTGGCACTGTTATTATGGGAATCCTAAAAGTACATTATTTGTGGTACTCTGTGACTAAATTTTGTATTACTAGATGATTAACCCTTTCAACATCAGGCAAATAAAACTACCTTCTGAAAGTAAAAATCATATTTCTTACCAAAAAAAGCAAAAAGTCAGTAGAATGAAAGACCCGAAAGACCACAACCTGAACATATGCTTAACAGAGAAAGATGCTTGCTGACTCTTCACAGACTTTGCTAGAACTGAAAGATAGATGATACATTTAGCTACCACTGTGGTCTCTCATTCTCAGCTTATTTAACTTATAAAAAAAATCAGCTTACTCCATTTTCCTTGAAAAATATCAGAAGATCTGATAAACACTATTTAAAAATCATTTAACTGTTCTGTATCTTTTGAATTTATACCGTTAAAAATTTGTACAAAGCCACATGTAAATTTTGTTTTTCAGAAAAGAAAATTTGGGCATGATATTCCTGTATAAAAAATAAAATATGATACAAAACCATAATAGATCAATAATAAATACTATAATTTTCAATGAAAAATTTAAAGATCAAATACAAGCTTGATGACTCTGGCCTGCATTTAATTGAGTAAAATATTTTAGAATCTAAACAACTTTTCATTTTCTTATGGATCTATATCATTCACTCTGCTAAATCTTGGATGGCTTGAGATTATTTAACTTCTTCCTAAGCTTCCTCTTTTTAAAAATCAGCAGCAAAGACTTTGGGAAAATGTGTTGAAACATTTTGAGCTTTGTTTGTAAAGGTGTGTTTATGTATCAAAAATTGTGTATACCGCATAAAATAATTTTAATTTCATGTGCCTATTTGAATATGTTAGTTTCTATAAAATGCTCATGAAATCTTCCCTCTTCCATAGTAAGACAATGTGGATATAATAATTATGTTCTTAACGTATTAATTTTTAAATAAATTGACATGAGAAGGCATGGCATTTTAATAAGTAAAAGGAAAAAGTTGATCAACAAAGTAAGAGAGAAAGAAAAAAAATACCTCTTTTCAATTCCATTCTATATAGAGATGCTTATCAGTATATTAAAACATAAGTTCCTATAAAGTCAAGTGTGTACTGGTTGGATGAGCAAGATAACACTCCATTTTATCTTTTGTTTGCTCTAATACAGTGCTTATAAATTTACAAAGCACATTCACAGTCACTGTCTCATAGTACCCTCACAAACAACTCTCTTAGGTAGGACAAACACTAGAACTGCAGTATCTTTTAATAGATAAGAAAATGGAGCTTCAGGAAGGCAAGAAGCTTGTGCAAAGTCACTAACAGAATAAAGCCTAAAACCTATGTTTTGTACTCCTGGAATACTTTGGTCTTTCTACTAAACTTCTAGAATGGATTTCTTTGACTACTGTCTCAAAACCAAATTGGCAAACATAACTATCCTGGGCTAATCTAATTAATAATAAAATCCCCTGTCAATGACGAAATATAAACTACTTGAAGAAAAAAGACTGAGTGAGCCGGGCTCGGTGGCTCAGCCTGTAATCCCACGCCTTTGGGAGGCTGAGGTGGAGTGGATTGCCTGAGCCCGTGGGTTCGAGACCCGCCTGGGCAGCGAGACCTCATCTCTACAATAAATCAAAAAATTAGCCGGGCGTCGTAGCACATGTCTGTAATTCTGGCTACTCGGAAGGCTGAGGCGGAAGGATCGCCGGAGCCCGGCAGGTCGAGGCTGCGATGGCCGGGAGCGGCCACTGCACTCCAGTCTGGGCGACAGAGTGAGACTCCAACTCAAAAAAAAAAAAAAAAAAAAAAAAGACTGAGTGGAACTTTAATTTGTTTTTGTAGTGAAAATTTCAAAAGTGTTAAAAGCAAATTAGAAATTGAATGAAGACTATTGTGAAACTTCTTAAGGGTCTGAGGAAATCACTGTGCTGCCTATTTCCTGTCTAACAGTTCCAAATATGAAGTACTTGGGTATAATTCTCTTCGTTTGTGTGTAGATTTAGAGTGGATACAAAGAAGTATTTCAAGATACATGTTAGAACTAGATACCGGATTTAGACATTGGATGATTTAAGAAATCTATTTATCTTTTCCTATACTCGGGTGGTATTTATTTTGCTAACATTTGCTTATAATAGTATGTGCTATTGTGTTACTTGACAATTCTACGATTAGTAATAGTATTCTATAAATCTGAATATGTGTTGTAAAAATTAGTTCTTCTTTGGAAGGTCTTTAAAACATCTTGATTTTATGCATTATTTTCTAATATACTTTACTAGAAAGGCATAATATAATCCATCAAGATCAAGAACTTCAAGTTTATAACCAAGTTGTCTAATAACTCAGCACTTATCACAACCATTAGCCAATTCAATCTGTATTAACTTACTGAGCTTAACTGTTCATATTTCACTAATTTAAAACACTTTGTCCAAATAATTCCACATTAGTGTGACCTATATACATATATTTATGCATTTATAATATATGTGTAACTATACATGTGTGTAATTTTAGCTTATCAGACAGTGAATGATGATATATAACATTCTAAGCAAATAAAAAACACTAATGAAGATGTTTTATTTTTGTATAAGAATATATGAAGAAAACAGAATTGCAATTTTGAGAATGCAAGCACTATTAGATAATGCAGAACAACGAAATCCTAATTTCAGAGTAGAAATTTAAAAAAATATAAATCCAAATAATCTTAGAATGCCATACTATTCCTGAAAAATTTATTCAAAGTTATTTCCTTATTATTTCTCAGAATAATAAAATTGTATAATTTTAGGATTGAAAAAGATTAAATTTCTAATTCAGATCTTGTATTCATTGACATTTGATTTTCTTGCCTATTTTTTATGTTAAGAAACTCTAAAACTATAGCTTACTAAAACTATGTGTTTTAGTAAGAAGAAAAAGATAGAATAAAAATTAACTTGATTTTCAACTGAAAACATTATTTCTCAAGTGATATTTACTTTTTTAATTTAGTTAACATATCCCCAAACAATTTTTACGTGAATTTTATTTCAATTGATTTGCAAAGAAAAGTGGTGGTTACCACTCTGTGATTCCAACATAAGAGTGCAAACCACTATGTGTACTCTTGCCAAAATATAAATTTCATTAAAATTATGCTTACAGGAAAATCAAATGCTATAATGTAATACAATCTAAGTATTTTACAGAATATTCAAGAGAGACTTGTAAATACAAAAGTTGACAGATTTCACAGAGCTCATAATTCCTGGGTCCATCTAAATATAAAAGTTATCTAAGTACTCTTTACTTATCAAGCAGTGGACTTACCATGGAAGTCATAAATATAAAGAAGGATTGGCTCATTTTGCCCAAATGCACAGAATGTGACCATATTTTCAAATGGGTGATAAGAAATGTCTCGAATGGGTGACTTGAATGGTAGGTCAGAATACATGGCTACTTGCTCTCCTAAATAAAAAACAGATTCAATGATTTGTACTGTGTCAGATATTTCTCATTATACGATTATTTTGCAACTTATTAGAAAGTATTTTTAGTAACAATGAAGCTCATATTATTTATATGAAAACCTCAACTACTTATAATTGCTTGAGTAACTGTATTAAATAATTATCTCTACTCTGCATTCTGTTGGCCCTCCATTTTCTACTTTTCAATTCAATCTCTTCACTGAGGTTTCAAGGCATAAAATAAAGACAAAGTGCTTAGAACAAAGTAGAGAGGCATATGAATCTGAGATCTGACAGAGCTGCACAATCTCCAACTAACAACTGCTTGCAGAATTAGGGAAGGAATTAAAGAACTCTAAAACTAAAGAAACTCTAGTTGGGCAAATTCCGGTGAAGGATTAATTTTTCTGCATCCCCCCACCAAGGCTGTTTGAAGTACCATCTGCTTGAAAGATACCTATGATTATGGCTAAAAGATGCCTACAGCAGAGGTCTGTGGAAGATTTTATAAAATTCTCCTGATTTCTTGTTAAAAACTGTTTACGTAGTTTTAGCATCTTTTGAAAAGCAAAGGTGAGGCGTAAGTGAACTTCCCATGGAATAGCTTATTTTATTAGAAAAAAACTAAAATGCAGTAATTCAGGTACGCTGCTATTTAAGTTACAAACATCAAAAACCTTCACAAGAATGTTTTGTTACTAATAAAAATATATTATAGAAGTTTAACCATTTGTCTAACTAGTTATATTCCAAATTCTGTTTATAACATTTTGCATTTTCTACTACAGTCCTCATTAAATACTTCTCTAAGATCAGCAATATCTTAAGTAAAGAATAAGCCTTGAATTATAATATGAAATTCTAAATGCATGAGGATATTAAAAATAGTAAGGAACATAATTTAATATCAGTTTAGACAGCAGCTGATTTCCACTAACGGCTTTCTAATCCTAAAAAAATAAAAAACCCGAAATCAGAATTTCCTAAAAAATTATTCCAAAAAAGTAGAGTTTTTACACTTTTTCAAACCCCCAAAAGATTTTTGAAATTCAATAAATATTTACCTGTTTCTGGATTCCAAACATATACTATACCATCCTCACTTCCAGCAAAGAGAAAAGTCCCACATGGTGTCAAAGTACTATGAATCTTCTCCCGATAATTTGCTGCACCTACAAATTTCCTTGCTGCTAATCTATAAACAAAAATGTTTTACAAATGTAACCTATCTTAAATGACTTGTGGCAGAAAATCTTTTCTTTTAAATACTTAATTTCCATTCAACAAACAATTTTGGGGAACCTGTTATATGGGAAACATATAACAGATAAAGAATAAAGATGAACTAGTCCCAGAGTCTAGGGAGTTTACAAATTAGCAGGAGAGAGAAGAATGTATCAATGTAAAATAGAAGGTAAATGTAGAAAGTACCACAAAAAAGAACAAAAAGAGTACTTATACATTTTAGTAAGAGGAATTAATTTTAGCTACAGAAAGAGAGACTACTTTGTGGAAGTAGCATTTGAGCTGGTTACTAAAAAATGGATAGAGGTTTCATACTCTTAAAGGTTCACACTCTTAAATTTTCTACGACATGATAAATCTTAAAAATCACAGAAGGAATACAGACTCCTTGGAGAAATATTAGATAAAGCATATTACTAAATCATCTATGAAATATGGTACACAGTCTTCTGTATTTTTTCACTTATGAGTAATGACTAACCCTGTTTCAGCAGTTACTATGTGCCACAGTTACTATTACCATCCTGGGTTTACAGAGAGGTAATCTGCTCTGCAACCTGCTTTTTTTACTCAACAAAAAAATCACAAATAATCGACCTCCATGTCAGGAAATACAGATTATCATATTTGTTTTAATGGGTATATGTTATATCATATATATATCTTAAAGAAACTTTCTATTGTTAGATGACATTTATGATGCTTCCAGCTTTCCCCCACCATGATCATGATTTGTATAAATAATCTTGTGTATGTATATATTTGTACTGTTTTACCACGATCTTCTTAACATAAATTCCCAGACCTGGGGATACTAAGCCAAACATATATGGAGTCCTTGGCTATGTGCTTTACTGCTTTAAGTACTTCACATGTATTAACTTGTTTATTCTCACACAATATTGTTATGAGTATGACATATTAAGGAAGAGAGAGACAGAGATGTTAATCAACTAGTAAAAGGTGGAAAAGGCAGTGTTTGACTCTAAGTAGTATGTCTGTAGAGAGTAAGCAGGATCTTAAGTGGTATACTATACTGCTTAAAAAGGGAATAACCAAACTCCTTAGCCAGGCCTTCTAATCTGGTCCAAATTTCTATTTCTAAAAATTTCTCTCTCAGTATTCCTTGTCAAGAAATCTGTGCTCATACAGATTCATTCACTCTACCTTGAATACATATTATCCTAATTTTGACCTCTGAAATACTTTCAACTTATCTAAATTCTATCCAGCCTGCATGATTGAGCTCAAATGCCAGCCTCTCAACAGAGCCCTGACCAAAAGACTATAATACAGCTGTCAGTTTTATTGTTGCCATGAAAAATATAATCGTTTTATTATAAAACTGTATTCATTATAAATATATATTAAATACTTGCTATCGACCAGGCATAGCATAGATGCTATGTATTTTAAAAGTAAAAAGAATAAGCAGCTTCCAGTCCTAGTATTATTATTATTTTTAGGGATAGGGGTCTCATTCTGTTGCCCAGGTTGGTCTTGAACTCCCGGCCTCAAGTGATCCTCCTGCCTCGGTTTCCCAAAGTGCTGGGATTATAGGCATGAGCCACTGCACTTGGCTCAAAATGTTTATTTTTTTGTTGTTTTATTTTGAAGGTATGCAACTAGATTATAAACAGATGGGCTAATCCTGTTTACCATTCTCTCACAGCACCCATGTCAGTGTCTGAAACTGTTCTACATAAATATTGAAGGGCTTAATGATTAACCCTAAAAGAATACCTGCAGAATTAAACAAATATTAATTGCTACATTTGCCTTTCTAAATACAATAAAGAAATCTATCAAAACAGCTTTCTCTCATTTTGTTTATAGGAACTATAATACCTAAACAAAAGCACACTAGAAGTTCACGCTGGTATTCCCAGAACTCTGCTTCTGCATTTTACATTAAGGTAATTTTCCTACATTTGCCTTAATTTAGAGATGAAGAAAAAAAAGGATGTATTAATCAAAAGCCATCTCCTTCAGTTATATTATACCATAATATTATGCTATACCAGTATCATAGAGATAATGTCCATATCAATCAATCAATATCACTGCTGAAGGTAGAAATTTCTTTTCTTAATTGCAAAAATAAAGCAACTGACTCCATTTCAGTCTCAGAATTATTCATATTTTGGGCCACATAATTCTTTGTTTGGAATTGTCCTTTGGGAAGTAGGAGCTGTAGGATGTTTAGCAATATCTTTGATCACTTCCCACTAGATACCAGAAGCAACATCAAAAACTTCTCTAGGCCAGGCTCGGTGGCTCAGCCTATAATCCCAGCACTTTGGGAGGCTGAGGTGAGTGGACTGCCTGAGCCCGCAGGTTCAAGACCCGCCTGGGCAACTTGGCGAGACCCCATCTCTACAATAAATCAAAAATTAGCCGGGTATGGTAGCATGTGCCTGTAGTTCCAGCTACTTAGAAGGCTGAGGTGGAAGGATCGCCAGAGCCTAGCAGGTCGAGGCTGCAGTGGCCAGGAGCGGCCACTGCACTCCAGTCTGAGTGACAGAGTGAGACTCCAACTCAAAAAAAAAAAACTTCTCTAGATACTGCGAGATATTTCCAGGAGAAGAAAACTGCCAGGCTGAAAACCACTGCTGCGTTTTACAAATATAATTCTTTATTTATTCTGTGGGTACCTATACCACCAACACTGAAAAGATACTTACATCCGGAGGTCCATAATTCTCAAAGTACTATCTTTGGTATGGATTAACAAACGTTTTCCATTGGGATGAACCTCCAAATAACTTATTGGAATCCCTTTAAACTCAGTTTCTTTAATTTCCTAAAATAATAAAAAATAATAATAAAGTATTACCACTGAAAAGTCTGTCTAATGTTAAGTCTTTTTTTCTAGTACATAATTATCTTTAAAGTGTCAGTTTCAATTCTGTTGTATATAATGCTTTATAACTGTCAGCAAAAGGATTCACAGTAACTTCAGTTTAGAATTAAACATAATGCCAACACATTGTATTTTTGTGTTGTGATGTAATACTGCATTTAATTTGCATGTTCTTTTGTAGAATATTCACATTCCCAAAATTTAGTCAGCTCCAAACAAGCACTTCCAACAAACATGCCTTCTAACATTGCATTTTTTGTTTATCATCATATAAGAAAGCTTATAATTGCTATAAATTCAAAACTAAATGTAGAATTAATATTCAAATTCTAGTCAAGTCTCAGACTCTTTCTTCATATACTTCCTCTTGTCTTGAAAAGGAATGTTATCTACATCTTATTTGAAATCATTTAGCTTAGATTGCAATTTTAAGTGGGTTTTTAAAAATAGTTATTTGAAAAGCTAAGCAAGATACTCAAATAATGATGTCATGAAAGACATAAACACTAAAGGAGAACATGCCTGCACAAGGCTCGCTTGAGAAGAATTACCAAGATAATTAAATTGGACCCTTCTTATAAATACACAAAAATCAACTCAAAATGAATAAAAGACCTAAATGTATAACCAGAAACTATAAAACTCCTAGAAGAGAACATAAGGGAAACGTTGGACATTGGTGTTGGCAATGACTTTTTGTGTATCACACCAAAAGCTCAGGCCACAAAAGCAAAAATAAACAAATGGGACTATATCAAATTAAAAAGCTTCTTCACAGTGAAGGAAACAATCAACAAAATGAAACAGCAGCCTATGGATTGGAAAAAAATTGCAAACCACATATTTGGGGTTAATACCCAAAATTTATGAAAAACTCACATAACTCAATAGTGAAAAAATGAATAATCTGATTGAAAAATGAGCAAAAGACCAAAATAGACATTTCTCCAAAGAAGACATGAAAATAGTCAACAAGTACATAAAAAGGTGCTCAACATCATTAATCATCTGGAAAATGCAAATCAAAACCACTAAAAGATACCACTTCACATCCTTTAGGATGGCTATTATCAAAATACCAAAAGATAAAAGTTGCGAGGGTATGGTGAAAAAGGATGTCCTGTACACTGTTGGCAGGAATGTAGATCGGTACAGCCATTATGGAAAACAGTATGGAGGCTACTAACGAAATTACAAATAGAACTACCATATGACACAGCAATCTCTTTACTGGGCATATACCAAAAGGAAATACAATCACCACCTTGTAAAGATTCCTGCACTCTTATGTTCACTGCAGCATTATTCACAAAAGCCTAAGACACGGAAATAATCTAAGTACCCGCTGACTGGTGAATGGACAAAGAAACTGTAATATCAATCAGGAAATGTTATTCAGCTCTAAAAAAGAACAAGATCTTGCCATTTGCCACAATGTGGATGAGCATAGACAATATTATGCTATTTGAAGTAAGCCAGAAACAGAGAAATATTGCATGATCTCCCTTGTATGTGAAACCTTTTTTTAAAAAAACAACAAATATACAGAGATAAAGATTGAAACAGGGGCTACCGGGGTGGGGTTATGAGGTAGGAAATGAGGAAATGTGGGTCAGAGGATACAAAGCAGCAGACACGCAGGATGAACAAGTCTAGAGAGCTAATGAACAACATGAGGACTATGAGTAATACAACTGTATCGCATTTAGGGTTCATGATGAATGAGTAGATTTTAGCGGCTCTTGCCACAAAAACCAAAAATGGATAACTATGTAACATGATGAATATGTTGATTTGTCTCACTATAGTAACCTTTTTTACTATCTATATGTAACCCATACATCATGTTTTATGCCTTAAATATACACAGTAAAATTTAGTTTTTAAAAAAGAATTACCAAAGGTCTTTCTTCCTTGGATTACCAAAAGAAACAACAAAATTGTCAAAGCCAAATTGCTTAGGCCAAAGACCAAAGAGTCAAAGAAAAATCTGCCTTAACCTGCAGGCAGAATTCTGAATTAGCCATCATCTTCTTCAAGGACCCCTTATTGTTGCTTCCTTTGCCCACAGGTCTCATCTTCAGAAAGGGGTTGACTCCAGCAGAGGTAGACGACAACACTGCTACAGTCCTTACATAAGCAATTGAGCCTCTGCGACCACTGTTTGACACCAAGACCTGCCGTCAGGTATTTTTTAAAAGTTACAGAAAAAGTGAAACACTGGCACCACATATGGGATTTTAGTCAGCTGAACTACAGCAAATTTGGGGTGGGAGAAGCACTGTTGGAAATGTGAGCAACTGAACATATGCAAAAATGAAAAATAAAAAACAAACTTGCCTAAAACAAGTTAAGTGTTAGGCATATATTTGAGAAAGTTGTTGGCAGATTTAGTGTTCATATTATGTGATGGTTTTCTCCATTTAAAAAAATCACATTCATGCTCAAACTAAAAAAGTCCTTGTTGAAGACAGTGTCCTCGTCCAAAGAGTATGTGCAACAGCACATGGACACTTCATCCTTCAGAGACAGATAAGTATAACCTAACATTCCATACATTGCTGGTTGAATACAGCCTCGTATGAAATCAGTTTCCAGTTTGTTGTATGGCATTTTGCTACTAAAAAGACATTCCAGTTTATTTTCTGAGATTTTATTTTTGACTGTCTCAAATAATGATCAACTGGTAGATTTTCAAGGTAAATTTACCTCTTAAGTTACTGTATTAAGACAAGCACTGATTTTTATAACAAAAAAGAAATAGTAAATTCAAGTGAATGGAACTGGTGCCTCTGGAACTTTGCCAATCCCTCAGGCATAAGAGTAATTAGAAAATTCTCTCCAAAATGTGTGAAATTAGGCTACATCATGAATCCAAGACATCATTCATTCATCTGAGAGACTTGATGAGAATGACTAAAAATAAAATATATTTTTAAAAACAGATATGATAGATGACTCAATGGATTTAACTAAAGTTCACAGAAATTCTTTTTTACTTGGAGTGTCTTTTTTCAAATGAGGGCAATTATTGCTATGAAAAAATAAAGAACAAATATATAACATGCTAGGCAGAAACAATATCCATTTATATAAGATAAACTCAAGTTTAATGAGTCATTTTCTTTTTTTTTTCCCTTTTTTTTTGGGGGGGTGGGTTGGAGTCTCGCCCAGAGAATTCTCACTCTGTCATCCAGACTGGAGTGCAGTGGCACGCTCCAGGTCACCGCAACCTCAACCCGCTGGGTTCCGGCGATCCTTTCGCCTCAGCCTTCCAAGTAGCTGGAACTACAGGCGTGCGCTACCATGCCCAGCTAAGTTTTTGATTTATGGTAGAGATGAGGTCTCGCCAAGTTGCCCAGGTGGGTCTTGAACCCACGGGCTCAGGCAATCCACTCACCTTGGCCTCCCAAAGTGCTGGGATTACAGGCTGAGTCACCGAGCCCGGCCTAATGATTCATTTTCAACTAAAAAATAAAAAATACACACTAATAAAATTGCTTAGCATACAAGCCATCTTAAAATCTCTGCCCCCCAAATGAAAAAACGTATTCATTTGTTTCTGCCTATTTAGCAAATTTCAAATGAAACGTTACTGTGATTAAATGATAAATCCCCATCATAAATCCATAATTCTGAAAGACACTACTGTTAAAAAACACTGAGCACACTGTTTATTAGCTGGAGAAAAAAAGACATGAATAACAGAAAACATAAATTATTACAGATATAACATATACCTCATTTTAGCATACATTTCAGGTAATGGATTACTGAATGCCATGGTGCAAATAGGGCTCAAAAAATTGAGAGTAAAGCCTGGCTAAAATTTAAAACTCTTCACTAAGTCATTACATTATCAGTCAGGAGGATGTGATAATTAATTACTGGTAATTGACATTTCAGGGACAGAGAAAAACTGTTAACTTATTGAAAACAGAGAACAAAATGTCCTGACAACCTATATTAAAATCATGTGTTTAAGTTTTTTTCCAATTTCAAAAATTAAATCTCAAAATACAAAATGTGATGTTATACCTTATTTATAGTCCAGTGGTGCACTGAATGTTGCAAATCATTAACTTTTACATAGGTATTCCAAACAACAATCACTCCTGTGCAGTCTCCTGAATACATGTGATGACCTATTTAAAAAAATAAAATTACTCCCTTAGGAATGTCACACAGAGATAGAAACAAATAATATGAAGTTAGGGGAAACCGTATCCTAGTAAAACAGTAAAATAATTTAAAAATATTAAAGGTATTTCATTTTAAAAAAGCCAAACACCAAAACACAACACAATCAAATATCAATTGTCTGTAAATGAATTCTTTAGTCTTTTGATGATTTATTTCTTTTTATTACCTACTTGAATTTAGACACAAAAAGGAATGAGCATCTCAGTATATACATAAATGGCTCACATTCCAAAGTCAAGATTTATTTGAATCATCCAATATGTATTCTTCATTTTTATTAACCTATAAAATCTGTTTTATATTGCTAGAAAAATACCTATATTCTAATATATAGTGTCACTATGATACCTTAGACTCAGTAGAAATTCAATAAATGATCAGGGAATTAATGAAAGTATGCCAGCTTAACATCAAGTTTTTAGAGTCAAACCATCTTAAGGTTGACTGGGACCCCAGAAGCCATCAAGTTCAACTTCATAGTCACTCAGGAATATCTTACACACCATCACTAACAGATGGCTGCTCAGCAACTGTGAATTTTATTTTACAAAACAGCTTATTCAACTGGTGAACTACAAAGAAAATCTGTCTTCTGCAGCTTTGGCTTCACTTCTACCTACCAGAGTGACAGAAACGGATTTCTCTCTCTCTCTCTCTCTTTTTTTTTTTTAACATTTGAAGATTTTATGACCAAATAGTTGAAAAAATTCTTTTACAAATGAACTACTACTATGACAGAGTTTTCAAACATCTTTCTAGTCAGAGCCTTTCCTAAATATGTTTCAAATGTAACATCCCTACAGTTGAACCAAGTGTATCAGCAGTAATATTATTTTAATCTGGATACCATACCAATTAATTATAACAATAGCCTTCATGTCTAGTCTCTGAAATTGTGTAAAAAATGATCTATTAATATATTTTACATCTTTAAAATATTTATATTATTCATATACTAAGACAAAACTTTAAGTAAGCACACATTTCCCTTCTATATGTTTGTGTGCTTTAAAAAAAACTCCCACTGCTACACTAAAATTATATATTTTCAACATTCTTTTGGGATTTTTTTCCCTTTATCTTGTTAATTTTGTACCCTGTAATTTAAAAGGTTCTTAAAAAAAAACCAAAGAATGATAATCACCAATTTAAATAAATATATTTATAAAATTTTATAAATGACCAGTTGTTACAGCAAAGATGAATTGAATCTACATGTTTAGAAATGTAATAACCTTAAAATTACAAACAGAACACCCTCAGTGCCAAATCTATAATGTGACCTCCAAAATAGGAATAAGCCTAAATGTGCACAAATAATCATCAGTATATAAAACTTTCTCTCAAGTTTAAATAATTATTATCTTAGTGAAAATAAATTCATGTAGCTAGTCTTCACATATATCCTCTGACATACCTTCAGTGTCAAAACAGAGTGAGTTGATAAAACTTTTGTGAGCATCAAACTGTCGGACCAGTATAGCAGAATCCTCTCTCATATCAACTTTCCATATCCGTATCATAGAATCATAGCATCCTGTAACCACCAGCTCTCTTACAGCTGGATGGAATTTAGCCGTGTAAACAAAAGAAGGATGAGGTAAAACTCTGAAAGTATTTGTATTATTTATTTCATTTTTCCATATCCTGGAAAAGAATAAAAAGTTACACATTGCTTCTAAAAGGCAGAAGTTTAACAGTTTTTCTAAGAACCAATATAGTCAATGAACTTTAAGAAAGCAAGTGCCAACAATCAATTGTAAACTATTTTTATAGCAATAAAATATATTATGATGACCATATATTTGATGGTTGAAATTTTTCACATTTTGACAAAGCTATTCCTTTTAGTTATTATCAAGCATATTATATCTACTAATTATAACATATAGTAGATTAAAATTAAAAACTACAAAAATAAAAATTTTATTTATACATAGATACCTCTGTTTTTATTTATCTATTTTTAATTAATTAATTAATTAATTAATTTTTTGAGTTGGAGTCTCACTCTGTTACCCAGGCCGGAGTGCAGTGGCACGCTCACAGCCACCCCAGCGTCGACTGCTGGGCTCCAGCAATCCTGCCTCAGCCTTCCAAGTAGCCAGAACTACTTGGAACTACCACACCTGGTTAATTTTTGATTTATTGTAGAGACAAGGTCTCACCAATTTACCCAGGGCTGGTCTCAGGTAATCCATTCGCCTCGGCCTCCCAAAGTGCTAGGATTACACAGGCTAAGCCACTGAGCCCGGCCGATACCTCTGTTTTTTAAACCTACATATTTTAACATTGATTAAGCACACATTGAATAGTAGATTAAAATACTGCATTTAGTATAGCATATGTAAAGAATATATAGGAAGAAAATTTAATTATTTCCCATTTAGGTTGTATATACTGCTTTTGCAAAATGCTTACTAATGGGGGTTTAGTGAGCAGGATAGTCCTTTAACTTTTATATTTGTAATTTAAAAGCCTAAATAATAGAAATGAAGATCTCAAAAACTTAAAAGTCATACTGAAATTACTCTGAATTCTCAGGTAAAATAAGATTAAAATATAATATTTTAATAGAAAACAGACTATCTTACATTAAGCATGCTCTTTATATTTAGTATTCATTATCTCTTCCTCTAAATAATGGCTGACTTTTTAAAAAAAAATTTAAGATTATTATCATTGCTACAGTCTTGAAAAGAGTAAAATCTTAAGGGTTAAACTGTTATGTTAGATACTCCACATTTCTGAAAACAAGCAAAATCTAGCAATAGACAGGTGTTATATAAGTGTGGAACACTAGATTATTTAAAGTTATATTTGGCTAAATTATTAAAATTAAAAGAACAGATTAATTTTTAATATGGGGATTTATAGTTTATCCTTTTATTTACTGCCTAAAAAGTAAAACAAATTAAGTTTGTCACAAAATTATCGATAAAAGAAAAACACACAGTTGTTTAAGAATAACATTCTATGAGTCTTCTGAGCAGCTGTTTAAAATATAGGATATGATCTTCAATTACTAAGAATCCAAACTAATAATGAAGGAAGTGAAAGAACATGTTTTCAAGTAAAAATAGAGCACGTGTGTCACTGCATAAATATTTTACCATAGTGTGTTTTCAATGAATATGTGCTACATGAAATATGATACTTATTAAAAAAATAAAGCCATTAATTTGTTGGGAATATTAAAAAGATAATTAAATATAAAGACCTTACTTGCTAATAAATCCTAACAACATTATTTAAAATGCTATATTAACAGGCAGAAGTGAAGCAAACATATCTTCAAAACAGCTCAATACAATTAAAATAGACATATTTTTTATAAATAAAACTTTTGTGAATATCAAACTTTCAGGCCCATATGACAGAATCCTCTCTCATATCAGCTTTCCATATCCATATCATAGAACCATAGATAGCATCCTGTAACCACCAACTCTCTGACAGCTGGATGGGACTTTGGCAATGGTAGACTCTAAGATCAGACTGATCATAAAGAACAAAGAAACACAGATTTTTAAAGACTGGATGAACACACAAAAATGATTAGATTTGAGAAAGAAAACAACATACCAAGTTACATAGTGTGAGTGAAGAAAGGGTGTACTCAGGACATAAAGATCTACTTAGGAGCCATTACACGTGGAAAAGTCTTTTTGATTGTATTAGGAGCTGTCGATTTGAGAAAAACACAAATTATTCTGGAGATAACTAAAGAAGGGGATTTAGGATAAACCCATATGGTAGAGAGTTAACCAAAAGAAAATATTTAGGAGATACTAATGATAATGTGACTGGGATCCCCAGGAATAAAGAAGCAGAAGACATGGTTAGAAATCTATACTTCTCACACTTGTGAGCATTTGCAATTCTAACTCTCTTCCTTTTGACTAGAGCTCATTAATTTCAAATATTTCTTACCTCTTTCAAAAACCTCCTTGTGTCTTTTACTCTAGTCACAATGCTTCTTTTATCGCTCAGTTAATGCTTTTGGAATACTATTTTTATTATGTAAAGAGTTCTCAGTATCACTTGTAAAGCCACATAAAGATAAAAGTATACTTTAATATACTATATGTTATGTAGGCAAACTCAAGATGGCTTCAAGAAATGATAAAATTTGAGCTGGAACTGAAATGATGACTATAAATCCCCTATATAGCTCACAAAAGGCACTTAATATATTTTTGTTGAATGAATGAATTAGGCAGGAAGGCTAGGAGACTTAAAAATATAAGAAGAGTAGGTAAGGCTAAAAGGGCACGAAGATGCCACAGAAGATGTTAAGGGTGTTTCAAAAGATTATGTGGGTGAAGCAAAAGGACACAGGAAGTGCACAAGAGGATGTCAGGTCAATGGGGAACATGCCTATTACACCACGCTAAGGAACGAGAAAATTTTCCAATGGGCAATGAATAATCAAAGATTTTAAAAATTAAAGCATTATGAAAGATAGTTTTAAAAAGATAATTTTAGGCTAGCAGAGACAGAGAACCTAGATACTGAACAGTGGAAAAGTTTAATAGCAATAATTTAAGTAAGAGACAACAGGACTTGAATTAAGGCAATAGCAAGAGAGAGGATGTCATAGAATGATGAGCCTTTTATAAAGGAGAATTGGCAGATATTAGTGCTAATTACATGTAAAAAGGAAGGGTAGGAAAGAAAGAAGAGATGAGCACTATTCAGCTTGGGAGGCAGGGTGGATAAAAATACTATTAAAAATAAATACAAGAACTAAAGGAGGAAAACAAAATTTGGAGAGGTCAATAAGTTTGGTTTGGCATTGGGCCATTCAGATGGAAATGCATAACAGAAAGTCAAACTCATAAAAAAAGTAAGAGCTAGAAGCCTTTAGCACATAAGTGAGATTCAAAGCTGTGGAAGGTGAGAGTAGCTAGGATAAGTATATGACACCAGGAGAAGGCTCAAGTAAAGGATCCTGGGGATAAATATATACAAAATAGGCAAAGGAAAAGAAACCAGGGAAAGAACATGAATAGAACTGGACAGAGACCTAAAAAGAAAAGAGGTCAATAAAAGCCATGAATTAAAAATATGACAAGACTGGTCAATAATCATTTACTGTAATGAGGGCAAGTGGAATAAGTGTTAAACTGGCCAATGGATCTGAAAATTAGCAAAAAATTGCTAACCTCTTAAAGTTTATCTAGCAAGGTAGAAGTGAAAGCCAGACTAGGTGAGTTGAAGAAAAGACAATATGTATGAAATGCTCTGGATGGTGAACAAAGAAAAAAATAATGTGGCAGGAAGTACTAAAAAAGGTATTTTCAAGGTAAGGTCTGAGTACATTTCTAAGATGAGAGGACACAATCAATAGAAGAAGACACTAAACAGATCAGACATGCAGGAAATAATAGATATAGCAGAACTATAGATTCAGGGGCTGAAATTAAAAGTCAGAGATTAGCGAGATACTGCTGGGGGTGGGGAGGGGTGGGGGCACACAATATCAATAAGGGCACCTGATCTCAAACCAGGTAAGGTGGGGACCAAATTTTACCTGTATGATGTCCACTTGAATACCTAATCCTGACTTGTACCACACATCTTTAAAATAAAAAAATTAGGGACCAAAGAGGGACCCAAACTTTACCTGCACAATGACCACTTGTATACCTAAATCTGAATTGTATCCTATATCTTTAAAATAAAAAAATTTTTAAAAATAAAAATAAAATAAAATAATTAAAAAATAAAGAAATGGTTAGGAAATGTGTCATTTGGGGACCTGCAGGGTTGCCCCATAACTTATAAGAGATCATCTTCAAGTTTCTGATTATGTAATTCTTTTTACATTGAAGAGGTTACAGAGTAAGAACTGGCAGTGTTAAAAAACAGACTCTTTTTAGGATCCCCAAAGAAATGCAAATGATATCCTGCTTGTGTGTTCTTTAAACATACTCATTGTAAATAAACCCTGATAAGACAAAAAAAAAAAAAAAAAACAGTCCCGTACCTTTTAAAAATACAGGAAGTTCACATCTGGCTACATCTCACTCTTAACTGAAGGTAGTTATCTAGTGAAAGTTGGAAGATTCAACCTGATACATGGTACAAAACTTGACATATGGTAAGGTTAGGATCTGCTGCCAGAGGAATGAGAAAAGGAAGCCAAGTAAATATCAGTGAAAGGATTGCTCAGCAGAGATGACAGATCAAGTGACTTTACGACTTACAAATCCACAGTAAGCCCTAAGCAAAGTTATATATTTTTCTCTATTATTACCTGGCACTGGACAGAACAGCTATGCTAAAAGAACAGACCAGATAGGTTCTGGAAGCAATTGTCAAGGGCGAGTAATAGTAGTCTCCCAGATTTGACAGAGGAGGGAGTCAATTGTTACTAGTTTTCATCTTTTTCATTTAAATATAAACTAAGCAACAGTGATAACATCTTGATCAATTCGACATTTCATATAAAAAAGGAAGTTGGTAAGATTAGTAGAAGAAGGGGTTCAAACACTAGAAGTCATATGAAGTGTTAAAAGAATAAAAGGCCAGGCTCGGTGGCTCAGCCTGTAATCCCACGCCTTTGGGAGGCTGAGGTGAGTGGATTGTCTGAGCCCGCGGGTTTGAGACCTGCCTGGGCAGCAAGATCTCATCTCTACAATAAATCAAAAAATCAGCCGGGCGTGGTAGCGCATGCCTGTAATTCCGGCTTCTTGGAAAGCTGAGGCGGAAGGATCACTGGAGCCCAGCAGGTTGAGGCTGTGGTGGCCAGGAGTGGCCACTGCACTCCAGTCTGGGCGACGGAGTGAGACTCCAACTCAAAAAAAAAAAAAAAAAAAAAAAAAAAGAATAAGAGGCAGAAATAAATTACAGTGAAGTCAGCACATATCTCGAACTGTTCTACATGTCGGTTCCCTAGTCTGTAGAGAGAATAATGTATGTCCACCTAACAGCTATCGAAATCAAGTTAAAATACATATATAAAATCATCTTGAAAAACTGCTTAACAGTATTTTTAGAACACATTCAAGTAGAACAAGTAGCTAAATAAAAGTGTAAATGAAACTTTCAAAACTGGCTTTTAAAATGTTTTATTGTGACACTAAATTGAAAAGGGATAATTATTTTTAAGATTGACATTCTGAAAAATGCAAATATTTAACAATCTATAAAATTTTTAAAACAAGAATATTCATTTATTTCCCCTACTGCTATGTACTGAGCACCAATGGGTTTCAGCTTCTGTGACCAGACAACAGTGAAGACAGAATCTGTCATCAAGAGTTTATGTTCTACAAAGAACTGAGTATCACAAGTTCTCACTCATAAGTGGACCTTGAACAACTATCGCAGTACTGTAAGAAAGGAACTGGCATAGTGCGAAACTGCCAGGGGAGGGGAGGCACACCTCATAACAAGGGTACCTGCATAATTAACATCTGTATACCTAACCCTGAATTATACCCATCTTTAAAATAATTTTTTTTTAAAAAAAGAGTTTATGTTCTAGGAAAAAACTCAGATGCTTAATTAGCTCATCTCAAGGTATTAATCAAAAGTTCACATAATCATTATTTCAAGACAGTGAGGACTAGAAATATTATAAACTATATAAATAAAAGATATTTAAGAAAAAATGTCATTAAAAATTTACACAATTTACTGAATCAGTCTGCATGATGCATATTTATGACAGTCCCTTTGTAGGTAAAATATGACCAGAACATAAGACTGGTTAAATCATTTTATGTTCTCCTTGCTTTCCTTGATAGCAAGCAGCAGACACTCAAGTATGTCTCAAGTATACTAACCTGGCGGTGCCATCAGATGACGAAGTAAGGAGATAGCGATCATCTTTTGACCAGGAAAGGTCATAAATAATATTGAGGTGGCCACACAATTCTCTCATGAAACGTCCAGAAGGAATTTCATATACTAATGAAAATATTTAGAAATTAGTAGATTTCCAGGCAGAGAATCCTTAATCCAGTAATATAAAAATACATAATTTAATACCATTTAGACATAAATTAATGTCTGTAACAAAATTTTAACCAAAGACATTTGCAGTATAAAGAAAATTTCAAAATCTACTTAAAATTAGTTTTTCATTTGCATTTACACACAATATTTTAACTTAATTCAATTTATTTATTTTGAGTCAGAGTCTCAATCGATCACACAGGCTGGAGTGCAGTGGTATGAACACGGCTCATTACAGTCTCGAACTCCTGGGCTTGAGTGATCCTCCTGCCTTGGCCTCCTGAGTAGCTGGGACTACGGGCATATACCAACATGTTCAGTTAATTTTTGCATTTTCTGTAGAGATAAAGTCTTGCTACGTAACCCAGGCTGGTCTCAAACTTCTGGGCTCGAGCAGTCTTCTCTTCTCAGCCTTCCAAAGTGATGGAATTAGAGGTGTGAGCCACATGCCCAGACTACACATGATATTTTATAATATGCTACAATGACCAATTATTCTCAACTCTTCAAAGTAATTCCCCAAAAACCTTGATAATTAATTCATTGTCAAATAACAAATAACATTTACACTGCAATTTCCTTCAAATATTCTATAATTTGGGTTTTTACCTGAAAATCAATTAAATGCCAACCCAAATTTTAATTATTTGCAGGCATGAGAAATTTAAATTGTGCTATTGTCAGGAAAAAATTTTAGTTGACAGGGCGAGTAAGGGAATTAACAGTGACTCAATCTGATACACAAAGCACTGTGGAATTACTATTATATATACTATGAAATTGGCTAAGATAACACTTAACACAGGACAAAACAAAGTTTCCAAGTCTCTACTTCCACCTAGTGGTAAAATCAATTGCCCTTTAAAATACTAATAAGCAGTTCAGAAATAACTTTAGTTCCCTCTTATCTGCAGTTTCACTTTCTGCAGTTTCAGTTATCAGCTGTCTACCATGGTCTGAAAATATCAAATGGAAAATTCCAGAAATAAACAATTCATAAGTTTTAAACTGCATTCCTTTCTGAGTAGCATAATAAAATATGCCTTCCAGTTCCATCCTGTCCAGGATGGTCAGCATTCCTTTATTCAATGTATCTATACTATAGAGGCTGTCTGTCCATTAGAAACTTACAAGCTGTCCCAGTTTACCAGGTCACGTTGGTTTCAGTACTTGCATTCAAGTAACCCTTATTTTACTTAATAATGACCCCAAAGTGCAAAGGTAACAATATCTGGCAAGGTGCATGTGCCAAAGAGAAGCCATAAAGTGCTTCCGTTAAGTGAAAGAGTAAAGTTCTTGATTTTAAAAGGCAAGAAAAAAATTGTATGCCGCGGTTGCCAAGATCTACAGTAAAAAGAATCTTCTATCCATAACATTGCGAGGAAGCAAAAAGAGGTATGTGCTAGTTTTGCTGTCACTCCTCAAACTACAAAAGAAATGACCTCAGTGAGGGGTAAGTGCTTAGGTAAGATGGAAAAGATACTAAATCTGTAGATGGAAAAGAGTAGCAGAAATGTGTTCTGACTAATAGTAAATAGGTTCAGTATTACCTGAAGTTTCAGGCATCCACTGGGGCTCTTGGAACATACCCCCTACAGATAATGGGAGCTACTATACTGGAATAGCAAAATAAGAATCTTAGAAAATCTACTGCCCAGCTGGCTCAGTGGCTTGGCCTGTAATCCCAGTGCTTTGGGAGGCTGAGGTGAGTGGATCACCTGAGTCTGTGGGTTCGAAACCCGCCTGGGCAACTTGGTGAGACCTCATCTCTACAATAAAATAAAAAATTAGCCGGGCATGGTAGCACATGCCTGTAGTTCCAGCTACTTGGAAGGCTGAGGCGGAAGGATTGCTGGAGCCCAGCAGGTTGAGGTTGTGGTGGCTGGGAGCATGCCACTGCACTCCGGTCTGGGTGACAGAGTGAGATTCCAACTCAAAAAAAAGAAAAAAGAAAAAGGGAAATCTGCTCCCCACAAAAGCAATGAGAACACTGGCAAAACTGTCTAAAATGTTTTCAGAACTCTGGAAATTAAGCAAAGTTTGCAACAATCTGAGAAATAGTCATTTAAGAAAAATGGCCGAATCTTGATAAGAAGAGTGAGGTTTATTGTGTTTAAACTTGCCCTATTCCCATTCCCCTCTCCCAAACTCTTAAGTAGCCTTAAAACCCAATAAAAATCAGAAGATTAGTAGACACTGGATGGGGCAGATCAGGTTTGAAGCCCTCCCAAGAGCCCCATCCCCCAAAGACTTATTATTATTTGACAGTCTAGCACTTCCATGAAAGACTTCATTCTTAGGGCTTGCCTTTATTTGACCTGGCTCAGTGCATACTCTGTGAGTACAGTCCTAACCGAGGCATGTCAAAAGAATCATTGGCATCATTTAGCACCACAGTTGCTTGAGATGGCAATAACAGGGGGTTGGGGAGAGGGGGATAAAAAGAAGCTCAGGACATTGAAAAGTTCCAAAATATTCCTGGGTATCTAGAAGGATCCCTATGCATGTATATGTGAAGGGCTATGTGCATACCCAAAAAAGACCCCAGAGGCTTTCTCTCTCACTCTGGCTAACCTGAGGATGCTCTGCGCAAATAAAGTGAAGGTTAAGGCACGGATGTAAATTGCCTACTGGAGTAATGATGGTATATGGTATATCAATCCCAACACACGCACAGACCCTTGGCAAAGGTCAAGCAGACCCATCCACTCGGTATTTAAAAATTTGTGCCTAACCACTAGCTGACTAATCTAACCAGAGACTTCAATGGCAACACATGACAAGAAACAAAAACTACAGAATTAGTCCAGGAAAATCATTAAGCCAACAGCAAAACAAAAACTGGGTGGATGTGAGGGGAGAGAAATGGGAAACTGATTTCCAGAGCTACCACACTATATTATTTAAAACATCCACTTTTCACCACAAAATTATGAGAAATGAAAAAAACAAACAGGAAAGTATAGCCTGTGAACAGGGAAAAAAGTAGTCAACAAAACTGTCCATATTGAAACTGAGAAAGCTCAGACGCTGGTCTTTTTCAATAAAGATTTAAAACCCACTATTAAAAATGTGTTCAAAAAATCTAAAGAAAACCATGTCTAAAGAATTAAAGCAAGCCGGGCTTGGTGGCTCAGCCTGTAATCCCGCGCCTTTGGGAGGCTGAGGTGAGTGGATTGCCTGAACTCGCGGGTTCGAGACCCGCCTGGGCAGCGAGACCTCATCTCTACAATAAAACAAAAAATCAGCTGGGCATGGTAGCTTATGCCTGTAATTCCGGCTACTTGGAAGGCTGAGGCGGAAGGATCGCCGGAGCCCAGCAGGTCGAGGCTGCGGTGGCCGGAAGCAGCCACTGTACTCCAGTCTGGGCGACCAAGTGAGACTCCAACTCAAAAAAAAAAAAAAAAGAATTAAAGCATAGGAATGATTTCTCACTAAAAAAAAAAAAAAAAGAATATCAATAAAGATACAGAAATATTTTTTTAAAGAACTAAAAATTTTACAATTGAAAGTACAATAACTGAAATAAATAATTCAGTAGAGGGGCTCAACAGCACATTTAAAAGGGGAGAAGAATTACTAAACTTGTTAATAAGTCAACTGAGATTATCCAGTCTGAGAAATAGAAAGAAAAAGAATGAAGAAAATAAAAAAGCCTCAGAGACCTGTGAGACTTCACTGAGTGTACCAACATAGGCATTAATGGGAGTCCCAGAAGAAGAGAAAGAAGAGATAAACAACATTTGAAGAAAAAAATGACCGAACCCTTCCAAAATTTGTGAAAAATCATTAATTTGCATGGTCAACAAATTAAACAAACTCCAAGCACATACATCATAATCAAATAGTCCAAAAACAAAGCCAAAGATTCCACTTCTAGTTTTTGAGCTTTAAACAATAAGTATATCTAAATCTACATGACATTTTAAGCAAGTTTAAGCGTAAGCTAACACGTTTGCCACAAGAGTTTTAAAAACATATAAGTCAGAATGAAAACAATTATTTCATTCTCCAAAAGAAAGATATTTCTATTAATAACTTGAGAGCATGCTTCCTAAGAATCTTTTCCCCCTATATATACAAGTTTTTGGTGAATTTTAAAAATAGCATAGTGGTAATCAAACTATACAAGTAATTTTGTATTTTTTAAGTGCACTATTATTTCATAAGGAGAAATAATTACTTAATAAATGCCCATCAAGTCAATTATGAGTCTCTGCTTTAAAAAAAAATGAATCAACTAAGGAACACCAAACCGTGTGAAGCAGAGGAAAGTTCAACAAATCCACTATTTAGGACAGATGTCCATGAAGATGTAGGCTCCTTCCTGAAGAAGAGAGCTGGTTTTCATGATTGAGGCAGAAGTAAGGGAGAGTGTGGTTAATGCTTCTAAGTCTAGAACAGTATGACAATGCTAACTTAAAAATCTCTACAGCTAAGGAAATAATTGTTCTTGGTCTGTCTGCTGACTTCCCTACCACAAGGAGACATTTGCATCTAGGTACTCCTGAGTCAAGTAGTAGTGTTCTATCGGACAAACAATTTGAGAGCTTTCATAATTTAAATCATCACTGCTACCAAGTAAGCATACTGGATTAAAATTCCCTATAAGATGTATTAATCCTTCCCGTTTCTAAATTTCTATTTTAAGATAAAAAAAATTTACAAAAACCCTCCTGTGTGTTTTAAAAACAAATTTATCATCTTTCATTTGATCATTCTCATTATATTTCTGAACACTTGTTGTATAGAAAACTTTCAAATTATTATAAAATAACTATTTACTTGAAGAAATCTGTTTTCTTTAACCTGGTAGTACTGGGGATGACTCAAATTACGATTCTGGTGAATCTGAAAAACCAAAGGAAGTCTTCCACACAGGCTACAATTAGATCAAACAGGTAGGATTATTACTCACAAATAATTGGATATCCATCCCGGCTGGCACATGCTGCTGCTAATATTCTTCCATTGTGGGAAAAATCAAGGCAAAAACATCCTCGTTCTCCTGCATTTAGTGAGAAGAGGTGCTTGTTTGGGATACGGCAAGCCTAAAAACCATACGGTTAAAAAATATAAATTAGAAGACATTAAAATGCAAAGGTTAGTTCTTAATTTCAGTTACAGTAGTGTTTTATTTTAAACTCCCTTTACTGTGATGCAGAGAAAGAGAAAAGCAAGTAAGCAGAATGATGGAAAACCATTGTAAATTACTTTTTAAACAGAAAATCAGTTTCCATAAAATTTTAAAAGTGAATTTGTTCTTCATGTCTAATTAGTACTTAATTCACCTAAAATATGAATAGAAACATTTTAATATCTGATCCTTTAAAGTTGTCACATCAAAAATATAAATTGAAAAATTTCAATATCCGATACTTGAAAGTTGTCACCACCATACTGCTTCTATACAGCCACAAAAAAGAATGTATCCTTATTCTTTTGACATGACAGCAACAAATAAGACAGTTTTGCTAAAGTCACAAACTTACATTAAGGCCACAAACACCTATTAGTCATTAGTCTTGGCTTAAGCCCATGATGTATGGATGTTCATTCTCTCCTAAATCAACCATTCCAAAATGCTTTTCAAAGTAATCAATCACGCCCTCTTGGTCTGTCATTCACTAACTGTACTATGATGTCTTCATAATTTTGGTGTTTTCATTTGCTATTATCAGACAGAACCAAAATTTTCTGAGTATTAATACCTACTGTAGAAAATACTGCTTATTTTTATTGATCCTAATTCTACCTCTTCCAACCTTCAAGTGAGCCTAGTTCCCATATGTCTTATTATTTAAAAAGCTGAATTAAACATATACTGGGCTCTTACTATATGACAAGAATGTTGTACCTTATTACAAATGTCTTTGAATATATTCATCACAGCAACCCTATGAGTAGCTATTATTAGCTAAGAGTAACCATTACTAGCTACGTATAACTAATAAGGATTATTCAAGGGGTCAAGCCTAGCTTAATGAGCCTAGTCAAAGATTATTAGTTCAAGGTCTTGCTTTCTAGATAGGTACCAGGTTTTTCACAAATAGTATCAAAATTTAGCAGTACCAGTACCTCGGGAAGCAGCACTAGGAATGTGAACATTCAACAGAATTTGTTAGGTGTTAATCATGTATCAGACACTATGCTACCTATCTTTTCCCTGCGTTTTCCAACCACATAATTAAGAAAAGGGAAAGGAGGGTAAAAAGAGGACAAAAACTGTAAGAAGTGTCAGGAGGTTTTATAACCACTTGCTGCTGTTCCTAGAATAGAAAGTACAGTTGAGGAAACTGTGCCTAATAAACCTAGGTTAAAAATCACTGAAGCCACTATCATGCCCTACCTAGAACAGGCACTCAATGAAAATTTTGTAATAACAATAAAGATCCTCAACAGTTTTGACTCTTTCCCCTTTGTTAGTCACTAAATCATGCTGATTCGTATGCATTCTATCTCTTGTATCCACGTCTTATTTTTTATTTTTGCCAACATTAGCCCGTTAGACCCTCCTCACTTCACATATCAATGACTGCCATTTAATTCCGTGTATCCTATTTCAAGACCCCCCCCATGCTACTGCCAGCATTAATTTGTCCTCAAATACAATTGTATCATGTTTCTCTCCCACCCCCAAACTTTCCATTATTCATCACAATCCTCACAATCAAGTGTTAGGCTATCATTTGAGACACTCTACAACGTGGGCTTAATCTAGCACACCACTTTATTTCATCTACAAATTCCGGTTTCCAGTCAAGTTTTTGAGTGTCTAATGAATACAACAGGTTCTTTCCCACTTATTTATAACTCTGCCTCCTCATGAAATACCCTTTCATATCCCTCTTCACTTCAAAATAGACTTAACTATCCTAGTTTATTTTGAGCTTCTCTGTTGAATGAAACTTTTTCCCTCCATTCTTCAAATCTGTAATTCTCATATATTTTTAGTTTCAAGATGATTTACAGTCTTAAATTTTTTTGAGAGTCCTCAAAAGCCTGTTTATTGGATATATCTACAGATATTTATCAAATAAGAAACTAAAATTTAGAAATTTAAAAAATATTTAGTAATTTACTTTAAAATAATGGTACCAAAGCCATTAATGTTAACATAACATCTTTTTATTTAAAAAATAACTACATAAAATGGAATTGTCTTACACTTTTGAAAATCTCTTCAAGATCTAGCTTAATAAACACTAGATGTTCATAACTGCTTCTACTTTCTTGTGAGATCACATTTCATTTAACCTCTGAAAGACTTTAGTGTAAGTTTGTGAGAGAATGAAACTGAAAAAGACTAATAACACCTTAGAATCACTATGAAAAAAAGATTGACTCCAGAAGGGGTTTTAGGACTCTCAGAGGTCCCCAAACTATACTTTGAGAATTGCTGACCTACACAATTATTTATTCACCTATCTTTCCTCAAGACTTCTCTGAGGCATCCTTGAATAACATTGTAACTACTTTCTTTTCCTAAAGTGGAAGGTCCCCAAGGGCATACATAATCTAAGTGTTATTCTCTCCTTACTGTTATGGTTTAAGTATTCCAACTCCAATAAAGTGATTTTAAAATGTATCTGTAAACCTGGCCTCAAAAAAGAAAGTCAAATGTGATGTTAAAAAAAAAAAAAAAGAGAAGAGGACTAAATAAGAATAATAAATTGTTATTTCTATATGAGATGTTTGAATAAATTAAGATTTTGAGTGAATTTCATCTGATAACGGCTCAGCAGTATAAAATGAACCACTCTATTCTTTACGGAGACAAGTGAGAAGTCTGCAACATTGTACAGCAATGCTTCTTGCCACCACAAAAAAATGCTAACGTAGTAAGAAAACTTCAGTGAAAACTTAAATGCTACTCAATTTGTGGTAGAAGTCTATGCACATACACATCGCTATCAAAATGTGATTCAGGAAGAAACCAGCAAAAAAATTTCATAAATCTATAAAGTTAGGATATATGGTTCTTGCAGATATCAAAAATCTGTTTGCACTTTTTTATTTTAAATATTTTTTTAAAGAAACAGTGTCTTCCTCTGTCACCAAGGCTGAGTGCAGTGTGTGACCATAGCTCACAGCTGCCTCAAATTCCTGGGCTCAAGTGACTCTCCTGCCTCAGTCTCCATACCTACAGGTGTGCCCCATCACTCGCAGCTAATTTTTAAAAACTCTTTTAGAGACAACGTCTCCCTATGTTGCCCAGGCTAAAAAATAAAAATAAAACAAAATAAAAAATTCTGTTTTTTGACTGCTGTTATGGGTTGAATTATGTCCCAAATTCATATATTACAGTCCTAACGCCCAATATCTCAGAATGTAACAGTATTTGGAGAAAAGATCTTTAAAGAGGTGGTTAAATTAAATGAAGTAATTAGGATAGGGTTCTAATCCAACAGAGGGAGAGAAATAGGAATATGCACACACAAAGACAAGACCATAAAAAGAGGGCAAGAGGGCAATAATCTGCGAGACAAGGAGAGGCCTCAGAAGAAATCAATCTTGTCTGTACCTTGACCTTTGCTACAGGTTGAATGCTTGTGTTCTCTCGAAATTCACATGTTGAGTCCCTAATCTCCAATGTGATGATATTTGGAGGTGGGACGTTTGGGAAGTAATAAGGTCATGAGGGTTAGTGCCCTTAAAATAAAAGACACGAGAGAAATGATCTCTCTCCCCCCCAAGTAAGGCTATAGCAAGGAAGTGGTTGTCTGCAAGCCAGAAAGAGGACTTTCACCAGGAGCTAAAGTGGCTAGCACCTTGATCTTAGATGTTCCAGTCTCCAGAACTGAGAGAAATACATGTCTGTTGTTATGGCGGCCCAGGGTAACCAATACAGTAGCCCAGGAGTCCAAAGAACCTAAGATAGAACTTTTATACACATGATAGGCACTCTATGGTTGCTTGTCCAATTAATTGATAGAAATACTAAAATATGATTAAGAACAAGGTTAATCTGAGCTTTTTAAGGAGTAAATTAGGTACCCTAGGAGCTATAGGAATTTTTAAGGCCATAAAAACAAATCCAGTATCATCAAATACTTCACCTGCCCAGGCAGTCGTTTCCACTTTATTACTTCCTTTGAATCTTCTAATCCAGGTTCTGTATCTACTGAACTTGGCTCACGATGACGCTCACAATACACAGGTTTGCCTTTTTCCTCCTGAAGTGCCATCATAGAACGGTAAGATGGCTTTATCTAAATATGTATGAAAAATATAAAAAGGTATATATCAAGCTCACCTTTTTCTCCTTCCTAGCATATGCTGTTTTTAAAAAACTGAAACAAATAATATAAAAATATTTTCAAAATGCAATCCAGAAAAAAATTCTACTTTTATTTGTACATTATTCTAAATAAGTAAAAATTAACTGCTTGAATTTACAGTCCTATAACCAAAAAGCCTTAAAAGTTTGGGGAAAAAAATAGTACTCCAATGGTTATATGAAATGATTTTAATAACACTATCACTTTGTTTCTGATTCTTCACCAATACCTGTAAGTTATGCCATGGCTCTGACATATGACAATATCTCTGGCTTTAAAAACCACAAAAATAGTATCATAAAAATCTAAAGTTTTACATTTCTTACCAGATTTTGTTTAACTTCATTCAAACCAATGCAAATCAACCCCATGGTCACTGTATAATAACATCAGCTACAGAATGAGCAAATGATCTTAAAGAGTAATGTCTTGCAAGAAGAAAGACAAAAGCAAACATTTCTCATTTTAGGATCAATTCTTTGCTAAACTCCTTATAATACTAGTATGCGGAAAACAGCAGTAGAAATATTATGTACTGCTTATTTGAATAATATTATGAAAATGTATTTGGAAATCAGAGGCCTACAAACTACAGCTCACACACCAAATCTGGCCTGCTGACACCTGTTTTTGTAAATAAAATTTTATTGGAACACATCATGCCCATTTGTTTGGTTATTGTCTACATATGTCAATGTAGTCACTTTCACATTATGAAGGCAAAGTTGAGTAGTTGTGAGAGAGACTATAGGGCCAGCAAACCCAAAATATTGACCACATGGCCCTTTACAGAAAATACTTGTCAACTCCAGCTTTAAACCAACCTTTTATCTTTAATTTTTAAAAATCAAATTATAACATTTTTCCTAACACTAAAATCTGCATTTAATACTTATAATTCATTTAAGCATCCTTTAAGTGTGAGCTCTTACAGGTTTAATATATAATCTCTGAAGGTTTGCTACTCCGGAAATTTATTTAAATAATTTTAGAGACCTTATCTTTTTTAGACATGAAAAACCTGTTATGTCACCATTTAATTTCAACAAAAGAAGATATACTTATCTGTACTATTAACTTACACAGTCTGGAACTTTCAATCCTCTTACAGTTACATACAATGTTGATGGATAACGATTTCTTGGACATTTTGACCACCATTCAAAAACTTCAACAACGTTTAATTGTGATCGAGGCTTCGTAGATGGGTAATACAGTTGCAAGCGAAGTTTTGAATTGATGTTTGCATTTCCATTGGCTCCCAGAAGCTTAAAATAAAAATTCATATAAAATGTCCCCTTTATTGGAAATAAATGCATCCAATAAAGCAATAGTATAAAGTTAGAAACTCATTTTTTAAAGATTAATAATACGGCATGCTAAAATTCTTTACATTTATAAAGCAAAGAACACTGACACACTGGTTAAGCACAGTACCAGATCATTTTGACAAAAGGTAACCCAAATGCCTTTTAAAATATTTTCCTGTTAGTTCTCTTCTCATCTGTACAATTTCAGACTGTTAGTAAAGCATTTATATTACCATGCTAGATTTTACCTCACACAAAGGAGGTGATCAATACACATTTGTTTGAAATAAGGAGAATGATTAAAATACATATTTTCATTTGCTTAATACTAATATTTTTAATGATTAAAATTTTACAATGTTCTAAATTTTTTAAAAAGTTAAAATCACTTTAAAATAATTAAACTCATTCATTCATTACATTTTTTTCAAAAATTTCATGTACCTTCTTAAAAAGATTTCTAAAAATCTATTAAACAAAACAACTTATGTTTAAACTAAATAAACGGAAATTCTTAAGAAAAAAATAAAAATCTCACCAAGTCAGAACAGGTCCTCTTTTACTAGATCATGACTCTAAATAGGAAATATCTTTCTAACCTTTGTGTCCTCTGTAAATTAGGAGTAGATAAATAGTTTGAAGGCTTTGCAATAGTTCACACAGAACATGGAAGTAACTCAACTAGAACAGGCAACGAGTTCAGGGAGCATATTTAAGAACTTTTACTGACAGATGCAACTTGGAAAGTAAAGAAAGAAGGAGTCAAAAAAGACTAAGGTAGTGCTGTTCAACAGAACTTTCTATGATGAAAGGAATATTTTATATTTGAGTTAATCAACATAGAATCCGCTAGCTTCATGTGGTTATCCAACATGTGAAATATGGCGAGCTCAAATGTGACCTGTGACTACCAAAACGAACAGTGTCTAAAGGTTTGGGAGACTGGACAGATGGTGGTATTACCACTTGAAGCAGCAGCGAGAGTTGGGGTAAACATTTAAGCAGGACATTCGGTTTGTGGGAATTTGAAACATATATGAGTCATACAACTTGAAATATCCAGTAGGTAATTGTATTTACAAATCTGAAGCACAGGAGAGAGAAGTGATTCCAAGAAAAATGGGTTAAACATGAAACCATGAGTAGGAATAGTATTAAGAGGCAGGTGGAAGACCATGAAGGAAACTGAAGAAATGGTATAAAGAAAATCAGGAAAGGATGGTGTCCAGAAAACCAAGGTAACAGACTTTTAAGAGAAGGGCAGATTAAATGCATAAGTGTGGCAAAATATCAACTAAAAATATTCAATAAATTTGGCAGACACGGCCGGGCTTGGTGGCTTAGTCTGTAATCCCAGCACTTTGGGAGGCCAAGGCGAGAGGATTGTCTGAGCCTGCGGGTTCGAGACCCACCCAGGCAACTTGGCGAGACGTTGTCTCTACAATAAATCAAAAACTAGCCAGGCATGGTAGCGCGCGCCTGTAGTTCTGGCTACTTGGAAGGCTGAGGTGGAAGGATCGCCAGAGCCCAGGAGGTCGAGGCTGCGGTGGCCAGGAGCATGTGTCACTGTACTCCAGTCTGGGCGACAGAGTGAGACTTCAACTCAAAAAAAAAAATTGGCAGACATAAATAATTAGGAATTTGGTTAGAGAAATTTGAGTGGCAGATGTAAAATCTAGAATGTTGTTCAGGAATGATGTGTTCAGGAATGATGCATTGAGGAGAGATAACAAAATGTAGCCCATTTTTTCCCCTAGCCCTTGAGGAAAGAATGTAAAGACAATGGAGGATACAAGATGAGAGAGTGACACTATGATCAGAGTCAAATTATAGAGCGGTAAAAAGCAGTTTTAAACTGAATAATAGGGATGCTTGGTCATTAAGTATTAAGCACTCTAGACTCCCTTTACAAACTCTCTTACAGCCTCCCTAAAGCTCATTACAGTGATTTTAAAGAGTTATTCCCCAGCTTCTATATCATACTTTCCATAAGTTAGTTTTTAGGGTTTTTTGAGTTGGAGTCTCACTCTATCACCCAGGCTGGAGTGCGATGGCACACTCCCGGCCACCGCAGCCTCCACCTGCTGGGCTCCAGATATTCTTCTGCCTCAGCCTTCCAAGTAGCAGGAACTACAGTCACACACCACCACGCTCAGTTAATTTTTCTTGATTTATTGTAGAAACGAGGTCTCAACAAGTTGCCCAGGCTGGTCTTGAACCCCTGGGCTCAGGCAATCCTCTTGCCTAGGTCTCCCAAAGTGCTGGAATTACAGGCTGGGCCACTGCACCTAGCCGAGTTTTTTTTGTTTTTGTTTCTGAGTTGGAGTCTCACTCCGTCAGCCCAAATGCAGCGGCACACTCACGGTCACCCCAGCGTTGATCTGCTGGGCTCTGGTGATCCTTCGGCCTCAGTCTTCCAAGTAGCCGGAACTACAGGCACGTGCTACCACACCCGACTACGATTTTATTTATTGTAGAGAAGAGGTCTTACCAAGTTGCCTGGGCTGGTCTTGAACCCACAGGCTCAGGCAATCCACTCGGCTCGGCCTCCCAAAGTGCTGGGATTACAGGCTGAGTCACAGAACCCAGTCCAGTTTTAATATTCTACAGGCAGTCTAGTTTACACCAATATGCTGCTTAGCATAAGTAAATGACTAAGTTCCAGCCAAGACCTTGCCATTATGGTTATAAATTCTACAGTGAAGAGCTCAAATAAGAAAGGGTTTATTATTTTATAGATTAAATGAATAGCCACATATATGTACTAAAATAACTGCAAGTGCCTAAGAATCTTGGGCATAGCTAAGAATTGGGATTAAGTCTCATCTGAACCCCTGCAATACCTCTACAATGATCTAAGACATCCCTGGATCCAATAGTATAGGCAAAAAACATTTTTAAATGTTTAATTTTATTCATGATATTTTCTTGAAGATAAATTTTATTCTAGTCAATCTTTCAATATTCATTTATTAATTTTCTCAATATATATTCACCAAGCACTTTCTGTGTGCCATTACTATGTTGGGAGCTACTGATCTTATGGAATAGAGAGCTTCAAAAGAGTGATATTAAGTGAAAAAAATCCACTGAAATAAGGGCTAAAAATACTCAACCCATTTACCAAAAAGAAGTCACTGGTGACTCTAAAAAGTTTACAGCCTAAAGAAAAAGACAACTAAATATCACAACAGGGGAAGCACGAAGAATGCCTTACCCTTACGGTAAGTGGGGAAGGGATCAGGGAGAATTCTTGATTGTGATATATGCCAATAGCATAATATGGATAAATATATAAAACCCCATATAATATTTAAAGGTTAAAAATGCTATGAAATATGGTATTGTTTCTCAAGTGCAACTTTCAGTAAATACTACAGGCCCTCACCTTAGCATAAAAGGAATGCAGTTTCTAATATAACCACAAGATGGCAATGTTTACTATGTGAAACTGAATTTTTTTCCCCTCTATATCATTATGAAAGGTGGAATAGAAGCAAAAGGCATAACAGGTTTAGAGAAGGGTTACTTTAGATGGTACACAGGACCAGGTGATGTCAAAGCGCACTCTAATTGCTTCCTTACCACAGCCAACCTGGCTGATTTTCCACCGTTTGACTACATCTCTTCTAAAGTCTCTCTAACCCCCAACATGGATTAAATGCCTCAGCCAGGTTTTCACAGCATCTTCTCTACAGCACATAATCATGTAGGTGATAGATTTCTACAGAAACTGAATTAGAAGGTAGGTACGATGTCTGGTTTATCTATGGATGTTCTGTATTGAGTAGACTGCCTCACATTGTATTGATGCTTAAATATTTCTTGAATGGATAGATGAACAGATAAAAAAGTTTTGTATAAGATAGTACAAAATAGACTAATTACTCAAGACTTGTCATAATTTAAGTGTCTGTCTGAAGTCAGAAATAAAAGATACCAGAAACAAATAATTATAAAATTAAAATTTTCTTTTTAAAAAATGTCAGTCTATCTCTGTCTTTCATCTTTGCTAAAACATCCAGGTCAGACACTACTATCATTTGGTACCTAGACTACGGCAAGAATTTCCTAATTTGATCTTCAAATATCTACATTTGCTCCATCTCTAATCTATTTGCCCCACAGAGTATCTATCTTTCTAAAACATAAAATCAGATTATTTTATTCTTTTTCTTAAAAATCTTTTAATGGCTTCTCATCACTCTTTAAAGTTCTACTTTGAAGGCGTCGTGTTGCTCTAATGGCTTAGAAGACTCTGTGTAATCAACACCCTGTCAGCCTGAGCAACCTCTTTATGCACCATTCTTCCCCTCAGCCTCTGTTCTCCAACCTCAGTGCCCTTCTTTTGATTTTCTGAATAAGCTTGCTCCTTCCAATATCAGGGTCTTTGCATATATTATACACTCTACCTAAGACCATCTCTTTCCCACTGGTGCAATGTGTCTCTTCCTCGGGAAAACTTTCCCTGACCCCACAGGATCCTTGTTTTCATTATCCATTTCATGCCTCTTTATAGTATTTATAAAAATTATAATAAAATGATAAATTGTATAATCAACTGCTTTATGATTGTCTTGCTAGAATATGAAGAGTTGAAGGAATTGGTCTTCTTTGCTCACTTACTAGAACACTAGCTAGCTCACAAAAAAAGGCTTGATAAATATTTATTGAGTTGAATAAATAATGACAGGGCCATGTGTCTTTTTCAATGCTGTATCCTCAGAACCAAACAGTGTAACTGGCAATCAATAAATTTGAAGAGTCTGAATGCATATCACCTGAGCTTGAGTTGACAACTCTTCACTACTACAATCTGACTTTAGATCCAAACTCTTTATATGAGACCAAACTGGCTTGGGAAAAAGCAGCTAATTCGATTGAAAGATTATTTTAAGTGTTTAAAACACATGAAAAACATACCTTAAGAAATGCCCATGCAATTTTCCGAAAGCCACATTCTTGGTTTTGAACCTCAGAGTTATTTTTAATTTCATCCATGCTTAAGAAATCAAGAATCTGCAAATAAATTCACAGAAGACTAAGCTACCTAAAATGTATTTCCCAATAATATATTATTGAAATTAAAAAAAACCCATTTGTACAGTATTTAAAAATATGTCCCCTATAGGTCTTGCTATGTTATCCAGGCTGGTCTTGAACTCCTGGCCTCCAGCAATCCTCCCATCTCGGCCTCCCCAAGTGCTGGGATTATAGGCATGAGCCACCATACCCAGCCTTTATATCCCTTTTTAAAAAATCACAGCTTTATATAAATCACACATAACACAATCACAGATACAAATGGTGGAATACGCACGTCATAAACACACACAGATAACCTGAAAGTCAAGCATCATAAAAAACAAGTAACTCTACAAAATGAATCATCAGCTCTAATTATGCCAGGCCCTTTGCTGTTCCCGTGCTAAAATTCTCCATCTTGCTTAAAGTGGAAAGGAGACTTTCTCTGCTTGCCTTTGTTTACAGAAAGAGAACATGAGATATAGAAAAGAAATGTAGTATCCTAAGTTCAAACTATCTCCAAATACAATTTTCTTACACTAAAACTCTGAGTAACTTGGGGAAAATAACTTATACTCAAAACCTTCATATCCTTTTTAGTTAGAATAACAAGTCAGTACAGAGGTCATCTACTCCATAAGGTTTTCCCTGACTGTTCTGACTTCTGCTAACCCTTCACATCTAAGAAGTTCTACATCATTCTTGGTCATACATTGCATTTCACTAGTCAACTGATCTGTGTGTGCTTCTCTTTACTTATGCAGGTAGCACACATACTCTTAAGGAGTCTGATAGAGTTAAATGAGTTTATACTATCTGAAATGAAGAACAGTATATACAGATCATCACTTCACTATAATTATCAGTCATGAGGTTGCTGTAATTATTAAGCGATACACAGGAGGTCAAATAGCTAACTACTGGCACTACTGAATGCTCAGCAAATATGCTACCACTGTTTTAAAAAGGGCATCTCACTTGTACCTCCACAGCACACATACACTAAATTCTAGGGATTAAATTCTCACACCACTTTTTTTGCATTATTGAACTATTAAAAAGAAGAGCTTACATTTGTGCTATTAAGTATTAATTAAAATTTAGTTTAAATTGCTTTACTCAATTCATACCTCAAAGAAAAGGATGACTTTAGGGCTCTCTTCAAAATCTCGAAGCAAATAGGAAAAATTTTCATTAAATATAATTTGTTCTTCCCACTCTGGAAGTCTTGATTTTAACTGTTTAAAATCATATGGTTGGGTCATAATAGGAAGAATATAATCCACATTCTCTTTTTCATAGTAAGATGAAACAGGTCGTTCACTGTTCAAAAAAGGATACTTGCATTATAACTTTTATAATTTTGAGAAGAAAAAATATATAGTGTACAAGGTGAGACAGCCAGAAATAAATAGCTGTAATAATACAAAAGGAAAATTATTTTCATTGTCTATATAGAAAATTACCAATTTTATAAGCATTAAAAGTAATAGTGCCTTACTATCATTTTGCATTTGTATACTATCAATTGGTTTCACAGAATTAATTTATTATAGAAATATAAAGTGAGGTGTATACTTATACCTTTACTATACAGAACTGGGATAAAGTAATTCCTTCAGAATATTAAATGAGTTCATAATATAATGGACAATAAATTTATTTAAATAAAAAAATAAGCATAAGATTATAAACTCTTTGAGCTAGCATATTTTCTTTGTATGTGCTAAGTCAACTGAATAAGTGAATGCTTTTTTTTTTTTTTTATAGTCTTCATGTTTCCCTTTCCTGCCATCTTTCCCAACAAATATTTTTTTTGAATACTAGTATAATCATTTATTTTATTGTACTTTTCATTTGGGCTTTCAAGCATATATTAACTATAAAAGTAATCTTAGAAAAAAAATTCAAGATTCATTTACCTCACCTGAGACCAAGATAACATATTAATTTCAAAAGAAAAATAATGATGTTAGACAACGAAAACATTTACAATCTATAAAATATTTACAATGCAATCTTTATGCCATAAATTTGTCACTAAGCTCAGTAGACTCTCTATACCACTTAAAATAAATTACTCCCTTACACTTAAAATTAATTACTGAATTAACAGATGAGCTCCATTTCTTCTATATAATAAACTGATCAATGTCAGTGGTTGATAAAGTCCTACAACTAGTAGAACTATTCTCTAATACAAATCCATAGCTCTCTTCTCATTGACTTTCAACTACCAATAACAGAAAATAGAACTTCTACTGTAGACAGTTTTCATTTCAAGGATTAGTTGTGTAATTTTAAAAAAATTACCTATCATCTTTCTTGACATATTGACCATTATTCTCATCAACCACATGAATTTTTACCATTGGGTGAGAAATCATAAAATCTGACTTAAGTCGATCAGTCCGATGAATGCAAACTCCCAGGACAAGGTCATCATCAAGCAAACATTTGGGATAAACTGGACTGTCTCGGCTTGTTATTTCGTGAACACCATCACCGTCAATGTCTTCATTATCATCTGGAACTACATGCATAGAAGAAAATCAGTATTATAATTAATTGTTCCCAAAGTTGTATTTAAATATACCCTAGTCTTTATGATGTATGATTATTATGTTAACAAAGGAACTTCAAGGGAAAAGAAAGAAAAAGCCAGAAGCAAATCACACTCTGAGAGTAAAATACTACATTTACTAATGTGTTAAAGTAGGCAAGAATCATTAATTTTTTTTCCTAACAAGGACCAACAACACAAAAATAAATTAAAAAATGAGAGTCAAAGACAAAAAAGTAATTTTATCTAGGTATTTCCTAAGTGGAATATATATTACTCTATGCATTACAACTAGAATTTCTTTTTTTTTTGAGTTGGAGTCTCACTCAGTCGCCCAGACTGGAGTGCAGTGGCATGCTCCCAGCCACCCAGCCTCGACCTGCTGGGCTCCGGCGATCCTTCCGCCTCAGCCCTCTAAGTAGCTGGAACTACAGGTGCGTAGTACCACACCCGGCTAATTTTTTGATTTATTGTAGAGATGAGGTCTTGCCAAGTTGCCCAGGTGGGTCTCGAACCCGTGGGCTCAGGCAATCCACTCACCTCACAACTAGAATTTCTATTCCTGGATAGGATGGAATAAGTCAATGCTTTGTGTAACAACAACTGTAAAGGGCAAAATAAGTTAGAAAAACCTTATTTTAAAGTCACCAGAACAGTATAGAAACAATGTACACTAGATAGACTAAAATTCCAGAGAGGGAGAATCAGTCAGAGGTAAGCCAATGGACTGGCAGCTGTTTTTGTCTCTGGGGATATCTGCTGATTCCGGGTTTGGCCCAGGCAGAGGGTCACTGCTAAGAGAAAGAGAAAAGCCCATGTTGTGAAGATTCAATGGGACAAAAATGAAAAAACTGGAGACTTGAGGAATCTTAAACACATGGCTAATTTTTCTCACCAAACTGAATTCTGAGGCTAGGGTGAGGCTTAGAGAGGTAGCAAAATTCCCAGTCTTGTGGTGCTAGCAGATCATGACCTGCCAGGGAAAGAGGCCTGAAACACAATGGGGAAAGATGAAGCCCTAGTGGGTGTGGTCAATTTACATTAAGGATCAATAGTCACTTTTCACCTGGGTCACTTACCAATTCTGGGTGCAGTAAGAGGTTGAGAATCCAGATATGACTCTGGTATTAACAGAGGGTTGCTACTGGGGGACAGAGAAGCCAGCGGAGATTTTGATGTTTATGGGAACTGGAGTAAGAAAACAGCTTCCAACCCATGGCCAGTCTAGTCTACCAATCAAGACATTTGTCAAGTTTTGAAGCTGCCTGAGGCAGAAAGCAAAATGGCTAAGCTGAAGAGCACTGTAGGATAAAACTGAGTCTCCCACAGTTTTTTTAGGACTGAAGAGACAAATACCTGTGAGGCTCTCAATAGGAAACACCCAGAAGGCTCTATCCTAGGTACAGGGCAAATACAAGATGAGTTTTGCCACAACTATGACCCAGTGCTGACCTGAGATAAGTTGCCCACCCCACCTGCCTACAGTGATTCTCTATAGTAAAAGAAGAAATCAAGTGGGACCTCTAGGATTCTATTCACAATGTCCAGCTTATAATAAAAGGTTACTAGACATAAAAGAAGCAAGACTATATAATCAATAATCAAGTGAAAAAACAGATAACAGAAATAGGCCAAAAGATGATTCAGGTTGAAGTTAGCATACAAGATAAGTATAAATAATATGCTCAAGAAAATCACGGAAAAAATGGGCAAAGCAGTTTTTAAAAATGAAGATTTTTCTACAAAAAAATTGAATTGGAATTCACAAAAAATTCTAGAACTGAAAAATACATTGTCTGAAATTATAAATGTAATAGATGTGTCTACTTTATGCTAGAGGACACAAAAGAAGACATGATTAGTGAACTAGAAGAAGGGTCAACATAAATATTCTAATTGAAACATAATGACAAAAAAAAAAGCATAGGGAAAAGAGAACATAAGAAATATAAATAACTAGTATATGTGAAATAAAAACCTAAAATAAGAGGAGAAAATGTTGATGAAACTACACTAAAAAAATAATGGCCAAGAATTTTCCACAGCTGGTAAACAATAGCAAACAGTGAACTCTAAACAGAAAGAATTCTAACAAAACCATATTTAAGCATATCATGACAAAACACTAAAACCAGAAAAAAATGTATATTCCTTTCATAGGGACATAAATAAGACAACTGCTGGGAACAGAAATAATGGAAGCCAGAAGATAAACTATGTGATTTCTTTAGAATACCAAAAGAAAATAGCCTGCATCCTAAAAATCTATATTAGTAAATATCCTTCAAAAATAAGGTCAACTAAAGGCATTTTAAGACAACATGATGTGAAAGAATTAGCAGGTATTCACTAAGAGAAATACTACAGGAAGTTTGTCAAAAAGATCAAAAAAAGGAAGCTGGAATTCATTTAAGGAAATGGTAAATTTTGGGGTAAGTAAATTAGTATCGATTGTACAAAATGGCAACTAATTTATAACATCTGTGAAGTTTAAAATACATGTAGAATTAAAATGCATGACAATAAGAACCCATAAAACAAAAGAAAAACAAATGGAGTTTATTATAATGTTCTAACAGCACTGGGGAAGTATATTTTATTAGAAAATTAATTTGTTGTAGAATACGGTAAGTCCAGAAAAAGCTCTAAACAGACAGAATTCTAACAGGGTAATGACTAAAAATAGTAAAGAATGTATAATTATGAAATTAACAGGAGAAAAATTTAAATACTTGAATAATTTAAAACAGAATGGGAAAAGGAACATAAAACAGGTGGATCAAACAGAAAACAGTGATATGACACACATAAGAACATAGACATAGTGCAACCAAAGGGATGAAGAAAAATGTACTATGCAAACTCAAACCACAAGTAGACTTTAAGGGAAAATGAGTCATTCTAGATAAAGAAGGGCACTGCATAATGGTAAAAATGTCAATTTGACAGGAGATATAACACTCCTAAATATGCATATATTCAGCAACATAGCTTCAAAATATATAAATAAAAACTTACAGAAATAAAAAGAAAAATAAACAAAATCATAGTAGAAATCTTAATACCCCTTTCAATAGCTAACTGAATAGACCAAAAAAATTAGTAGGATGAACTGATCCACACTGAACACAGTAATGTTATTTATGATAAAATGACACTGCAATACAGAGAGAACAAGACACTCTCTTCAGTAAATAGTACTAGGTCAATTACATATTCACTGGGAAAAAGTATCTTGATCATTGCTTCCCACAGTAAACAAAAAATCAATTCCAGATGAACTGTGTTTCTAATTGTGAAAAGTAAAACAATAAAATTTTTAGAAAAAAAAATCTTCGGAACTTGGGAAAGATTTCTTAAATCACAGAAAGCACTTACCATCAAAGGAAAGAAGATGGATAAAGTAGGCTATACAAAACTTCTGTTTTTCAAAGGACACCAATAAGAGAAAAATAACACCCAAAGTGGGAAGACATTTGTAATATATATGTGTTATGTGTATATGTATTCTGAAACAGACTCCTATTTAGGTATATAAAATATCATCACAAATCAATTAGAAAAAAGACAATTTTTTAAAAATGTACAGAAGACTTGAACATATTTACAAATGTCAAAATCCAAGTAGTCAGTAAACATGCAGGAGCTCAACTTTACTAATTAACATGGAAACCAAACTGAAGTTAAAGTGAAATATCACTATATATACCCAGGAATAACTAAAATTTTAAAAGATAATATTACATGTTGGTGAAAGTATGGAGCAACTGGAACTCTCAAACACTGCTAGTGTCAACTGGTAAATCAATTTTGTAAAACTGGAAATAGCTATTAAAGCAAAAAATATACATAATCTATGACATAGCAACTCTACTCCTAGGAATATGCCTAACAAAAATGTATGCATATGTTCACCAAAAGACATGTCTGGAATGTTCATTAAAGCTTTACTTATAATTGGCTAAAACCAGAAACAACTCAAATGTCCATCAGTTAAAAAAATAAATTAATTGTGGTATGTTCACACAATGAATATCTGAATAGTATAAAAACAGAACTAAGAATGAATAAGCTCAACTGCATGCAACAGTAGTAAAAATCTTACAAAGATAATGTAGAGTTTAAAAAAAAAAAAGCCAGGCACAAAGAGCACAGTATTTATGATTCTATTCATATTAAAGTATAAAAATAGCAAAAATAAACTCTGTTAGATGAGAAATTAGTGGTTACTCCTATAGGGCAACAGACTGAAAGGGAACTTTAGGGGATTCTAGATGCTAATGATGTTCTGTTTCTTGATTTGAATGATGGATTTTACAGTTATGTTCAGTTCGTGAAGATAAACTAAGCAATACACTTGTGAGTATACATGTTTTTCTATATGTTTATTATGCTTCAGTAAGATATTTAAAAAATTTAATTATAGAAATCACAAAACATCATGAATTTCAGTCTCAATTTCTGGCCAATTAAATGAAAACTGAAAGAAAAAAAGACATAAAAGTAGGAAAAAGGCAAGAAAGAGTAAAGAAAAAGAAAAGAAATGAGAAGCAGAGAAGACTGCAACAAAGGAAGGCAAAGTTGGGAAAGAAGAGGAAAGCTAAGTTAGGTTGAGGGACTGAGAAGATAGATACCATGTTCGACAGAGGGATGCAGCCTTAATATCTGAAGGCTTATTGGCTGCTAACCAATTATATCGCTTTCAACAACTGAGTCCTAATGATTTATGCACTGTAAACTAAATAGTTTAAAGAAAAAATATTTACTATTCTATAGCATATTATCCCAATTCTAATCATTCAATTATTCTACATTGAATTATTTCAATCATATCCTTCAGCTTTAGTTTTAAGAACTAAAATTCCTAGAATCAAGTTAAGTCTATCAAGGCACACAATTTTTCACTTAATTTGGATAACCAACCTGCATTAGCTTTCTTTTTCATTTTTTTAGACTTGGATTTTGTGTTTTCTTGCATGCTGTCTTCTACATTTTGTTCTGTTGAGCTTATTTCACCATCTTGATGAGAATCTGAAGTAACTGTTTCAATTGGAACCTCCTTCTTCTGTTCACCTTCTGTGCCATCAGAGATGGTCAATGTACTGTAAATATAACCCACATACAAGCTATTAAAAATATTATTATAATTCTTACTCATGGTGCAACAGAGTAAATGGTAAAGAGAAGGATAATCCTAAAATCTATATTATTTTCTGCTGGAAGATGCATATATTTTCTTATACACTAAAACAGCTGTCAAACTAGGTATCACAGGTAACATTTTATACTTGGTGAGGAGTTATATATCTCATGAGCCAACTAAAATTGAGTTCTAAAGCCCAGGGAAGGCAGTTTAACTCACCCATGCTAGCTCTGGCCTGTCTCTTTTCTTCCTCTCTTCTTTTTCTAATAAGCTTTGTTTTAAAACTTTAAAAAAATAAAAGTCCAGGGAAAAATGAGATTGTATTTTATAAGCAATGGATTTGTCTTTACATAGGACTTATCAAAGTATCCTCATCCTGTTGCCAAGTAAATGATTAACAAATTTTTTAATTATTTCAAAGGCATAAAACATATTCTAGTTTGTTCTGTTTTCAAGAGGTTTCACATACACAATTTTTTATTTCTAGTTAAAAGTCAATTCCTCGTGTTTTCCAGTGGCTAGTGTGTTACTATATTTTCAGGTTATTATTAAAATTAAAATCTGCATCACATGAACTAATAAATGGTAAGGGGTAGCAGCCCAGAAGCAAACTGAGTTTAAAGAGAAACCATTAAAGTTTGTAATCCAATGCATAATAAATGTGTATTTAAATAATAAAAATTGACTTCCAATATCTTTAGTCATCTTTCAAGAAAAAAATGTATTGAAAAAAATGAATTGGGAATAACAAAACTAGAGAAATATTTCAAAGTAGTCATTCTGGAAAGTTGTTCTATTTTATTACATCACCAAATACTATTCTTTAAGAACAGCTACCCTTTGCAAGTCATGGTCATGCGGGGCATGGATTTTTTTAAAATTCATGAACTAACCCTGCTTTATAGTGAGTATAACTTATCAGTCCATCACAGACATGGTAGCTGTAAGTAAGAAAGAATATTTATAGTATATTGTGGTAGGCAGCTTCTAAGAAGGCCTCTACTGATCCTCACCTCTTGATATTCATGTCTTTGTGTAATCCTCTTCCTTTTAAATGTGGGCTGGACCTAGTGACCCACTTCTAATAGACAGAATATGGTAAAGGTAATGAATGCCACTTCTAAATTAGGCTCCAAAAAGTCTGTGACTTCTGTCCTGCTCTCTCTCCCCCTGGGAGTTCTTGCTGTGAAAATAAGTTGTGAGTAAACTACATGGAGAAGTCCATGTGGCAAGGAACTGATATCTTTGGCCAAAAGGCACTCAGAACCTGAGGCATGCCAGCAGTCACATGGTTGAGCTTACAAGTAGATCTGAGGGACACTTGGCAGATCCTCTCTCTCCTTGCTAACAACTGATGGCTGCCTGTGAGAGACCCAAGACACCCAGTTAAGTCACTCCCAGATTCCTGAACCATAGAAACTGCGAGACAATCAATGTTTGTTGTTCTAAGTTGCTAAGTTCTGGGATAATTGTTTTAACGCAGCAACAGATAACATATACTAACAGATACATATACTAACATGTCCCTGCAGTAACCTGGTATGTCTTGCTTTTGTTACTACTGGTCATCTAACTTTTGAAAAGAGGGGGATTGGCCGGGCTCGGTGGCTCAGCCTATAATCCCAGCACTTTGGGAGGCCGAGGGGAGTGGATTGCCTGATCCTGTGGGTTCGAGACCCGCCTGGGCAAATTGGCGAGACCTCATCTCTACAATAAATCAAAACTTAGCCGGGTGTGGTAGCACGTGCCTGTAGTTCCAGCTACTTGGAAGGCTGGAGCAGAAGGATTGCCGGAGCCTAGCGTATGGAGGCTGCGGTGGCCGGGAGCGGCCATTGCACTCTAGTCTGGGTGACAGTGAGACTCCAACTCAAAAAAAAAAAAAAAAAAGAAAAGAAAAGAGGGGGATTATTTTTAGCGCAAGGCTTTTGGGCAAATTTCCCCATTTTCTAAATCATTATTTTATATTCCCTCATATCAAGGAACAGTCACATGCAGAAATCTTCCCACCTCAAGGTGTTTCTCTAAAAGAGAACTGCAAAGGGAAGAGTTAATTGTAGTAATGAAAAGGCATTTCTATCTTATAGTTTCCTTCAAAGCAAGAATATGCATATATGTTCACAGAAGCTCACATCCTATAAATGTGTGTGTGTACCCAAAAAACCCCAAAATTTATTTATAAAAAATTGTGTTTCTTACATGTTTAAACTTCAGTCACCTTAAAAGTACCTTACATTTCATACAATACACCAATCAAGACACTTTTTCCACTGATCAAGATAGCTTTTGAACTCGTCACTTTGATGCCTTTTAGTGCTTCTGCTGTTTTTTTGTCTCACCTCTTCCACGTGGCAAGATGTTTCCCTTTGACGACTTTTTTCATACAGGGAAACAAAAGTTGCTCTGGGCAATATTTGGCGAATAGGGAGGATGAGGCACTGGAGTCATGCTGCTTTTGGCCAAAAACTGCTGAACACTCAGTGCATGTGGGCAGGTTGTGCAAATCACCCAACATGAAATGGGCAAACACACTGAAAGAATCTCCACAAAATAAATACATAAATAAATAAATAACTGAAGCCAAATGCAGCCTCTCACAAAAAATGCAAGCGGGTACACTGCTGTTGACAGGCTCCTAGAACACTTACCCAGCGGGGGAAGCCTATACTACAAGGGGCCCACCCCCCCAAAAGATAATTCCAGATTTTGGGGGTCCCTCGTATATATACATACATGAGAATATATATAAGTACACATGCACACACGCACTGTATATAGAACAAGACTAGAGGAACTGCTAACAGTGATCATCTCTGAACACTTGTTCTACAGTGAGAAAATGTTATTTGCATAATAAGAAAAAAGCTATATTTATATGCCCAAGCAGACATTTACAACTCAAAAAAGGAGAAGTAATTCGGTTTCTATTATTTTAAAACAGATGTAAATGAGTAGTTAAGAGTACAGATAAGTTTCTGGCTCAGCCTCTTACTAGTTCTGTGCCTTCCCTTTCCTCATCAGCAAAATAGAATAATATTACTTTTCCTTAAAGGATTGTTATAAGAAATAAATTAGTAAATCCTTATAAAGTATCCAGTACATAGTAAGGAGCTATGTAAAGGTTAGCTGATGTCTTAGTGACAATGTCACAAAATAAAAGGCTGAGGATTTTGTTAAAATACAGATAATACTCAAAAGCTGACAATAGTGGTGTTTTTTAAGAAAACAGTTTATATTTATCAGTGTAAAAGTACCTAGTTTCAGCTTCAGATGGGACGGAAACTTTCTTTTTTTTCTTTTTTCTTTTTTCACTGCTCAATTTGTCATCATGCAATAAAATATCTGAGGGAAAGTAAGTCAACTGTTCTTTCAGTTTCCTTCTTATTTTCTTCTTAATCTCCTTTGCCATTTCTTCAGTTACTTGGAGCTGATAGGCTTTCATCAGTTCTTCATTTTCTAAATCATTACTTTCTTTTCTTTTATTTATCTTCTCACTTTTCAGATGGCCAATACCTGGCTGTGACTCAGATGGTGCTTCCTGACGCATAGAATCCACCGTCTTCGCAGGAGTTTCTGGCTCCATTTCTTGTGCAGCCAGCTGGGGCACCGACTTCATCCCCTTTGTATTTGGCTTTCCTGGCTTGTCTTCCTCTACGCGAACATCATCATTTGGATTTTCAGCTGCTGACTGTGTGCTCCTCAGTTTGTTCTTGGTGACTTGCATCCTCTTCTCCAGGTTATTAGTGTTAGTAGGACTTAAACTACTTGTAGTTTCCTTAATATTGTGACGATAGCTTCTAACGGTGTCAAGCTAGGAAAAGAAGACACAATAACAAAGTTTCATCTAGGTATAGTTTATTATATAAGGTAAAACACAAAAATTAATGTTCAACAATGTGGAATTACTGGGAAGATTACTTAGTTTTTTACCTGAACACAGTGATACCATTCTAGAGCATTTGATGAGTACTCTCCTAGTTATGCTTCCAAAATTAGATTAGTAATCTCTGAAAGTAACTTCAGATTAAATAAGTTAATTACATGAGGAGTACTTAATTGCTCAAATCTCAAATGCTATTTCCTCATTGGCAAAATGATCCACATTCTAATCTAATTAATGGATAGTTGAGAAGCTGCTAAAAAAAATCACTGAATGTAAGACATTTCAGTTTCTCAACAGAAGACACACATGGGTCATTTATATTGACTTCTAACTATACTTTAAAATAAAAAATCTATAACTCTAAGACATTTCAGTTTCCCAACAGAAGACACACATGGGTCATTTATATTGACTTCTAACTATACTTTAAAATAAAAAATCTATAACTCTAAGACATTTCAGTTTCCCAACAGAAGACACGCATGGGTCATTTATATTGACTTATAACTATACTTTAAAATAAAAAATCTATAACTCTAAGACATTTCAGTTTCCCAACAGAAGACACGCATGGGTCATTAACTATACTTTAAAATAAAAATCTATAACTCTAAGATTACCCTACAACTGATCCAAATATATCACTAAAATGCTGCTAAGTATGACATATTAAGTTAAATCGAATGAAAGACTAAGCACATATCTGTACCTCTTTCCTCAATCAAAATTACTTAAAATAAGAGATATTTTAATTTAAAAAATCAATAAAAGGCTGGAAATAAAAAATAAAGAATGTTACTGGCAGTAAAATACATTATTTAGAGAAATCTCCTAAGGATTAAAGAAAGGCATGATCAGAACTATTAAGAAACTACCAAAGCCTATAGGGAAAGACAGCTCCAGGACTAAGAATAGTTCTAGAGAAGCCATAAAAATCAAAGGAGGGGAGACGCCTGAGGATGATCAACTGAGGAATTGGGGAGAACAGCTCTCTCCCACCTCCATTTGTGCTGACTTTCACCCAGGGATCAAACACCTGAGCATAGAGGCCGCATGATTCGCGAAGGTAAAACTCCCACAAGCAGCAGAAGCAGACTATGTTAAAACAACCAACAGGCAAGAGAAGAGAGATTCTCCAATATAAAGATGACTACACAGCTAAAAATTAGCAAACACTAAAGGAAAGTAGCAAATGAAGGAAAGCCATCAAATCCAACACAAACAGAAAAACTTATACCAAAAAATGACTATTATAAATATAAGAATTTAAAACAAGTATGAATGGTTAACATTAATTTTAAAAACCCAAAGGCCAATTAGACAAAAAAAATGCAGATTTTAAAAATAAAATGTTTGAGTGATGGAAATAAAAGCTTCACAGATGAGCTGAGAAACAGAATGATCCAAAACCAAACTGCTACAACACCAAAAAGAAGAATTCTGCCAGAAATGGATGTGCTTACCAATACATACTAACATACAATTGTTCACCGAAAATACTTTCCAAATTCGATCTATTCTTCGAGGGTAAAATATGATGCCATATTCTCCATGAAGTCTTCACTAATCAAATATAGTAAAATATCCACTCTCTTTTAAAAAATTAAGTTTGTTTTCATCTGTTCTGTTTTGGAAGTCACATTTGCTTAATTTAAAACAGTTTAAAAAAATACTAATAGCAAAAAAATACCCCAAAGCTGGTTGCCTCATACAAATAAAAACATTGCTAATCTTTTCAGAAGCTTCTTTTTGTTTTCTTTCTATGACTTCAGTCACACCTCAATAACCTTAAATTTCGCTATGTTAAAGTAGGGCACATGGAAGTTTATTCTATTTTTTCAGTCAGTAGCAAAATGTAGTAACAATATACACAAACTGTGAGGACACTCCTGAAGGAAATAATTAGAAAAAGATAATCAAGAATTAGAAATAGAAAAAAGACTTGTAGTCTCAAAGAAAATACTAAACATGAAACCTTAAGCAAGCTAACCAGATACTAAGTTTTAAAATAATATATTATTACTTTTTTCTTTATTTGCTTTTAAAATACTGCAGTAAGTACAGTAGCAGGGTATTTTTGGTAGTATCGCTACACTTTAAAGCATTATATTTACTTTTTCATTACTTTTTAAATAGCCTGGTTTGTGGCTTTGACTTTTTTTTTTAAACTTTAACAGCACTATGGAATAAATTTCCAAGTAATTTATAAATTATAAACGTTTGCTATTATTTCTAGATTTTTGGTACTACAGTAAAACTCTGCTTTGTGAGATTTAACAGTTTTATGGATTATGATCGAATTTTGAAATGTCCCAAATACATTGGGTCATGTTCCCATTATCTCTTCACTCATCTTTTACCTCTTTACATCATTTAGATTTTTTTGCCTTAGTCTGTCTGCTTTTAAAATCAGCTTTATTAAAATATAACTTGTAATAAATTTCACCAATTTTAAGTGTATAATTAATAAATTTCGGTATATGTATACAGTCATGTGAACACCATCATTATCATGATGTTAAAACATTTCAATCACTTTGTATATTCTTTTCCAAAGTCAACTTCTTCTCCATGCCCTGGACCCACTCAAACACTGATCTGCTTTTGATAGACAATAGCTTTGCCTTGTCGAGTATTTCATATAAATAGAATCACATCATATCTAGCCTTTCTGATTTCCTTCATTCATTGAAAAGCTTTTGAGAGCCACCCATGTTGTTGCATTTTTCGTATTTATTCCTTTTTTGCTAAACAGTATTCCATTATATAGACATATGCTACATTTTTGTTTCTCCATATACCAATTAATAGACATTTGAATTATTTCCAGTTTTGTTATATGTTTTCATTTCTTGTAGATAAATATCCACAAGTAGAACTGCTGTCTATACAGTAAGGAGATACTTAGCATCTTAAATAACAGCCAAACAGCTTCCACAGTGCCTATACTACTTTGCATTTCCATCAGCAACGTTTACGAATTTCAGTTACCTGACATCTTTGGCAGCACTTGATATTGTCAATGTTTGTTTTTTTACCTGTTTTAATAGGTGTATGATGGTATCACAGTATTGTTTTAAATTGCATTTCCTTAATTACTAAGACATAGAGAATTATTGCATGTGCTTATTTACCATTCACATATCTTCTTTGGTTAAATGCTCAAATCTTTTGTCCATCTTTATTAAGCTGTTTGCTTTCACATCACTGAGCTCTAAAAGCTCCTTAAATTTTAACACTTAACAGATAGTGCTTTAAAAATATTTTCTCCAAACTTACAGCTTATATTTTCATTTTTAAGCAATGTTTTATACGTTCACAAAGCACATTCCATTCTTTTTTTCTTTAACGGTTAATGTTATTGTAGCCCAAAAAACTTTTGCTTAACCCAAGGTTACAAAGGTTTTATCCTATGTTTCTTCCATAAGTTATACAGCTTTAGCTCCTATAAATAGGTCTTTGATCCACTACTAGTTAATTTCTAAATGTGATATGGTTCCAAGTTTATATAGCTATATAAATATCCAATTGTTCCAGGGCCATTTGCTGAAAAGATTATCCTTTTCCTAAGTTACCTAGGCAACTTCATTAAGAACTATTTGACCATATACACTTGAGTCCACTTCTAGACACTATCCTGCTACACTGAATTATATACCTATCTTTATAATGATACCAGTGTATTGATTATTAATGTTTTATAGTGAGTCTTGAATCAGAAAGCGTAAGCCCTTCAACCTTATTCTTCTTTATCAGAATTGTCTTGGGTATTCTAGATCCATTGTTTACATTCCCAAATAAATTTTATAAATGGATTTTAAAATTTTAAAAATCTGCTGGCATTTTTATTAGGAGTTCATGAAATCAATAGATCAACTGTCAGAGAATGCACAACTGATAACATTAATTCTTCCAATTCATGAACAGGAATAACTATTTAGGTCTTTATTTTCAGCACTGTGGGGGTTTTTAGTGTACAAATCTTAAACATTGTTAAGTTTATCAACACATTTTTGTACCTATCAAGTTATTTCTAAACTTTAATTTCAAATTATTACTGATATAGAAATACAACTGGTTGTTATACATTAACCATATATCCTGTTAAAAATCCCTGAAACATACAGTCTCCAAATTACAATGGTTCAACTTAACAACAGTTTGAACTTATGATGGTCTGACATATAATTTTTTGTCTTTAGGATGGCATGAAAGCAATACACATTGAGTAGAAACCATATTTCAAGTACTGATACAACCACCCTATTTTTCACTTTCAGTAAAGTATTCAAAAAACTGCAAGAGATAGTAGACATTTTATTATAAAATAGGTTGTGTGTTAGATGATTTTGTCCAACTGGCTAATGTAGGTGTTCTGACCACATTAAAGGTAAGCTGAACTAAGCTATAATGTCATGTGTATTAAATACATGTTCAAATCCTCAGCAAAAACAACAAAGCAGGTGGTATCACATTACCAGACTTCAAACTTTACTATAAAGCTACAATCATCAAAACAGCTTGGTATTGGTATAGGAACAGGCATATAGATCAATGGAATAGAATTGAGATTCCAGAGGCAAAACCTCAATTTCTCAACCAACTCATCTTCGACAAAGCCTCCACCACCTACCACTGGGGAGAGGAGAACCTATTCAGTAAATGGTGCTGGGAAAACTGGCTGACCATATGCAGAAGATTGAAACAGGACCCCTATCTATCCCCATGCACAAAGGTTAACTCCAAATGGATCAGAGACCTAAATGTTAAACCTCAAACCATAAGAACCTTAGAAAAGGAAGGAAATACCCTCATGGAAATCGGAACTGGCATCCAATTCCTGAACAAAACCTGAAACCCACAGGTCATAAGAGAGAAGATAGACAAGTGGGACCTCATTAAACTGACAAGCTTCTGCAAGCCAAAGA